ACAATAAATCAGCAGTAGTAATATTACAATTTATGTGTATGGTTTTAATATTCGTCCTACCTCCAAACCTGTGTTTTACAGTACGCAAATAAATTTACCCTGGAAATCGTATACGAACTATGTAATTTAATTTTATATTTCACTTAAAAGTATCAAGGTTATACCAGGAGAATAAAAAGTCAAGACGTCCCATCTAATATTTTTCTAAGTAAATATTCAGAGATATCTTTTAGTGGTTGTAGAATGAAACTTAGCAAGAGGTTTCATTCAATGATTTTGGAAATTTTGAGTGTCCCCCAAAAGGGGTGATTTAGAGGGCAACTTAATTTTTTTAAATATGCCCTTTAAGTGGCACCTCATTTTGAAATGTTTCCAAAAACTTAAAGAATGGTGAAAACAAGAGTTCAACATCTCTTTTCCATACAAAATGGTAACCCGTCGAATGTATTAACGTCTTCACATTAAAAAGATAAGAAAAATCAATGTAATGGTAATATTGGTTACCATCTTGTACCATATTGTATTTAATGTCTCATTGCAAAGTATATACTTTATTTGATCATATTTTTACAAAACAAAATAATATAAGGTAAAACATTCTGACATGTTATTTCGTTAAACATTATTGTGATGAAACATATGAAAATGTCAAGTGCTCCATGTTATGTAATGTTGATAAGATCATGTAATCTCAGCAAAGTGCTTGACAGTTTTCATCTTACATCATTCACAAGAGTAACGAAATTACATTCTTACATTCATGTAGTATAAGTAGAGCGAAATTGGTGGAACTTTGTATACGCAACTATCAACGCCACAACATACGTCTGAATATTTCATACGTTTATTCACTGACTTCACTATTTACTAAATGATGGGTTTTAATAAGCCTAAAAATGGGTTCTATGTCAAACCTAAATGTACATGTGGTTAAGTGCAGCTCTTACTTAGTTGTTTTGCCCCTGAACAGATGGTAAAATAACATAGCCTACATTTACAAAAACTTATTTTTTAATACAACCCCCCATTTTGCCCAGTTTGACATTTATTTATTTATAAACGGTTGCACCATTTTTACAATAAAAATACAATTGTCTTACAGAAAGAAGAAGCAGAGGAAAAACAAAAAAATCACAGGCCAGAACAAAAGTAGTGGAAAAACTGGAAAACAAGACATAAAAGATAAATAACCAATATAAATAACAAACTATAAATAACAAACTATGAATAACAAACTATAAGTAACAACTATAAATAACAAACTATCTGAACAAGTTGACAAAACAAGAGATTCGAAAAAAAACCAGTATAGGAACAATAATGATAGCAATGCAGTAAGCCGAGTAAAACTTTAGTAAAAGTGGCAGAACATTCTTGATGAAAAACAGATAAAACTTGCAGAAAAATAACAATATGATATACTCTGTACAAGAACAAGATAACAACAGTAACAACAGGATAGACTATATTAACAAAAATAAATAACAATGCAACAAATAGAATGTTTGGAAACATGCAAAGATTGATGCAGGAGTTCAGGATAGAGTAGGACAAAGGTCGGAGGTAAGCATTATACATGTGGTGGTAAAACTTAGCAAAACTAAATGATTGAATTTTTACATCCTACTTGCTGTTATAATAATTTAATTCTGTTTTATCTAAATACTATATGATATTTCTTTTCGAAAAAAAACATTTTTCCCGATTGTTTGGCTTAGTTACTGACTCCCAGAGAAACGGTTAAAATCTTACCGTTATAAAATAAATCCAAAAGTGGTCCTTAGCTTGATTTAGGTGTTGTCTTTACACATCACTGGATACTCTCTCAAATGGGCCAATGGTAGGCCTCTTGGCCTCTTCCAGCATACACGTAGAATATTTATTTTAGTATTTATAATTTTTACTCACATTCATGAAACTTATCCGATGGTTTTAGATGTATTATGTCGATGATTTTTAATTGTAAGTTACTAATGAATTATATTGATAATTTAGTCTGAGCTTATGGCCTAAAATATGAGTCTATCCAGCTTAACTTTATGTTGTACGGCAGTAAACATATTTTTTAAATGTACCTACTATATAAATTTGTTTGCAATGCCATTCTTCTTTTTATTTTTTGCTATATATTTGGGGATATTTTATTTTTATTTTTAAAGTGAGTATATATGTACAGTTATATTAAATATCTATTCCATTTTAAGATGTTATTAATTTATTCGTTTTTTAGCAAATGTTCCTATAGAGAAGTAGCTATTACTGAGGGTACCTCGATAAGACCTAGGCCCGGGACCGATTTACTTTTTCATTTTGATGTCCCCAGAGTCCATAGCACCATTCGTTCAATTATACAAAAAACAAAACAGTATTAAAATTTTAAAATGGAATAGATATTGAGTTCGCGAACCAGCATTATTGGACCATGGGAAGGGGGTTTTACGGGGGGAAAAATTAATTTTTCTCACTTTTGACCCTCAAAATACAAAATTTTCCAATTTCTCTCTAGACCTTTTTAAAGAGCTTAAAAAACAAACAATTTGGTATAGCAAAGTCTTTTTTGTACAATTATTGGTAACGGAGAAAGATAATAAAATTGTAAATTTAAAATTCCCGTGTTATTCTTAAGGTGAATATTGTGCAATGTTGTAGTTTGTTTGTTTATGGATATATTTTGATCAAACTTGGCAAATTTATTTATTTTATACTAAGCTATTAATATTTTACTGAAAAACACACTTAATCAGTTCCCTTGTAGCAGCAAACCTAGGTACTCGTTAAATCTAATGTTGTTTAAATAGATTTAATTGAAAAGAAACTAAGAAATGGAAATTTGCTTAGTCAGCAGGTTTGCTGCAGCAGGAGTATTTTTAATTCAAAGGATGTTTGCCAAAATGTGATTTCATAGTGTTATTTTATAATAATATATTAATCAGAGTAAATGATTATTCTGCTACTAAATGATAAGAAAATTATCGATTACACTCTTCCAGAGACTTTTTTACAACAAAGAATGAAAGTTCTAAATGAAGTATTATGTGTAATTATGAATTATGTCTTTAAGGGGATGAAATGTAAAATAGATCCCTAGACAGAATCTCGATATTTCATTATCTACTAAAGTTTCTGCCTCAAGCACCACCGGCATTGTTTTTTCAGATGTCTTTGTTTTTAGTCTTAAACCTATTCTTCTGTGAGAATCGTAAAACTTATAGCATGTTTTATCATTCAATTAGTTTTACTACTAAACAAGAGTTTAAATGAGGATGTTTTTGTAAATGATAGACTCTTCCCATGCAATACTATGTGATATTTATATATTATAATTGGACACTGACATATGTTTTTATAAACATGCGAGCTGTAAAAAATTAAAATACTTTTTACCTTAGAGATACTTCTCATAAAGTCATTTTGCTATTATTTCGTATTTCAATGTGCTGCCTACTTGTAGCAAATTGAGCAACACAGCAAAAACAGTTTAAGTCTTAACACTTCAATACAGTTAAAAAGTGTGTAATATAGTAGGCTAGTATAACTTAACTAGGTATAATAAGTCAGGTTTATATTTATATTGTATTTAACTTTATTTCCAGAAGCTACAGACACTACTTGGTACCATTGGTGTATAATGATCAACATTTTGTAAGAAAATATTATGATTAAAAAGAACCACTTTGAAACAACAATAGAGCAATTCCTTGTCTAAACTATTGTGGAATAGTCAATCTGTCAATGTATATAATTATTTTATTATAGCAGTATAGTTAAATATAAATATTACAAATTACATCAATCTAATTCATCACAAAACTAGTATACACCAAAGCTCGATAGTGTAACAGCATATGGTTGGAAAGCTTATAAAATGGTACAGTTTTCAACATTTTTATGTTGCTACTGTACCTTCTTGTATCCAGAGTGTAAAAAAATTCAATAGACCAATGTTTTTTTTTTATTTTTACCAAAGACCTTAATTTTAATTGTTGGAACTATTTACAATGGATTTTTTATTACTTATTGTCCATAATTTTTTATTATTCTTATGAAAAATTTAATTTAGAACATGTATATTACATCATCTACTCAAATCCGCAGGTAAATGAGAAATCGCTGGATTGTGTTTAAAACCATGGTTATTAAAAAAAATAATAATTCTTTGGGAAGCTAATATTTTTAGTCTTGAAACCTCTTATAAGCATCATTACACTTCATTTACCTTTTACTTAGATGAAACAATTTGTGTAACATTGATGACCAGTCACTCTGTATTTCTAATTAATCATGCATTTATTTCACACTGTAACCAAATCGATTGAAAACCTCTGTCTTGCATGGTACCAGGAATAATCAATTTAAAATTATAAAGAACTTTTACCTAGTTCTACTGCTCTCAATTAGTAAATATTTATGGTTAGATAGTCTATCTTAGGCAATGTTTGGGAGAACTTTTTCACCAACAATGATTGTCAAAATGTCAAATGGTCCGGATATTCCTTAGGGTCCACTCATGCATATATCAAAACGACTCCTTCAGAGATGTATATTATGTTCTCTGTTTGTTCCGTTTCATTTTGTTTGGAAGAACAATTTTGTAGTACAGTAATCGTTTCCTGTTAGGTTTGTTGATTTGCAAAAAATAATGTCAGGGATTCGTTAAGAAAATTTTCTCTACAAGATAAAATATTTGATAATTTAAAATCCAATGAAATATTTTATTACCAAAATATTAAAATTACTAGTCATAAATTTATGTATTACAAATTTCTTTGTGACTGTTAAAGGCACTGCTTAGGGTTTATAGTTGAGCCGATAAGGAAAATGCCAAAGGATACTCATATATGGATTATGTACAATCATAAAATGTTTTTGACAATGTGATAAATTTGGTCAAATAATTCTATTGATGATTTGATATATATAATTATTTATGATATTGATTCCAATAGTCTTAACTAAAACCTGTGGACTAAGGAATGCATTAATGAGAAACACTATTTAATTTTCAATGTTTTAATTAATAACAATGGTACAAAATTATATACATACACTTATGGCAGTGATCTGCGTTCAACACAATGGCAGTATTTTGGCAGTTATTATCAGGAGGTAAATTCTTGTTTGCTACAGTCTAAGGTTAAGCTTGATATCGTCTAACTACCAAAATGTCATACAAATTTATGTTATTTTAACTAATTGTGCACCATTGTAGTGAGAAAAATTATTTTGATCTTAATTTTTAAACAATTGTCTTCTATGCCTTGTTTCAAGCAATAACATTTTAACAAAATACTAATGCAAGAACAGCATGTTTAATTTGAGCCTAATATGAGTATTGAGATTATTTAACATTACTTATTAAAACATACTAACACTGAAGCGTTAATAAGTAGCTTTTAGTTCAGACTTAATTTCCAAGTGAAGGTATTAAAAGGAATTAAGATGCTAAATAAAACTAATAACCGATGAAGTACAAATATGTTGTTCAGTCTTTACAAAGATAAGTCACAATGTTTGACTAAGCTTAACTTTGCTAGACTACTTGAAGCAGACTTTGCCAAGTTTAGACTACTTGAAGCAGACTTTGCCAAGTTGTATCCAGAAGCTCTGGTTGGCTTTGCCGATGTCCCTCAAGGCAATGTCAGTGATAGGCAGTCGAAGAGCTCGGTCAGTGGAATAGCTGATGGTTGTACGACTCCATTCTTGCTTTCTCGACTAAAAAAATAACAATTCGAATTATAACAGGATAGCAGTATACAGGGTGATTGGTACTTAGTGTGACAAAATATTTTTGGTGTAAGTACAAAGTAAATGAAGTGTGATGATGCATATCAAATGTTCCAAGTCTAAAAATTAGCTTCCCAAAAAATTATTTTATGTTTTTCAAAAATAACCATGCTTTTCAACTTAATACAGCGATTTCTCAATTACATGTATATGAATTTGAGCAGATAATGTCATTTTCGTGTTCTACATTAAATTTTGAATAAGAATAATACAAAATGACAGAGGATCAGTCGTAAAAACTCCATTGTAAATAGATTCAAAGATAAAAATTAAGATGTTTTATAAAAATTCAAAAAACAATGGTCTATTGCATTTTTTACACCCTGTATACAAGAAAGTGTTGGAATATGTTAAAAACTGTGCCATTTTATAAGCTTTCCAACCATATGCTACACTATTGAGGTTTAGAAATCTTTTCGTTTGTTTTAGTGGTTTGAATGCCAGAAAACAGGGAGTTTTTTTTACTGTTTTACTGTTCAAGCTGAAACAAAAATACAACTTTTGCTTAATAAATGCCGACTTTCTATGTTTTAAATGTTAAAGACACCATGCTTTGTAGTCTTCAAACCACTAAAGCGTACATAAGCAGACATAAAGCTCAAAAGTGTAGCATATGATTGGAAAGCTTATAAAATGGCGCAGTTTTTAACATATTCCGACACTTTCCTGTATACAGAGTGTGAACAAATGCAATTGACCAATGTTTTTTTTTTAAATTTTTATCAAACATCTTAATTTTTATCTTTGAATCTATTTACAATGGAGTTTTTACCACTGATCCTCCGTCATTTTGTATTATTCTTATTCAAAATTTAATGTAGAACACGAAAATGACATTATCTACTCAAATCCATTTACAGGTAATTGAGAAATAGCTGTATTAAGTTTAAAAACATAGTTATTTTTGAAAAACATAAAATAATTCTTTGGGAAGCTAATTTTTAGACTTGGAACATTTGATATGCATCATCACACTGCATTTACTTTGTACTTACACCAGAAAATTTTTGTCACACTGAGTAACAATCACCCTGTATAACATTTTGGGACAAGAGTTAAAAAGGATCCTGAGTGGTTTAAATACCTTCGGTAGTTCGAAGGTTACCCATCTTAAAATTAAATACCCCACTGCAGCAAACCTACAGACTATATTTCCTCAAAACATCAAATGCATTCCCTATTTAAACAACATTAGGTTTAATGATTATGTTTGCTACAACAGAGTATCTAAAAGAAATTATTTTTAATTAAATGTTAATAGCTTAGCTGTACAATAAAGGAGAAAATAAAAAAAAATGTACATCTAAAGTTACCATTTTATTTTTAAGGAGGATAAGTAAACTGTTGTACGTTGTTTGTTTATAGATATATTTTTATAATATTTGGCAAATTTATTATTTTTATCTAGTTACACTATTAACATGTTATAAAAATCTTGTTTTATTCCCTGTAGCAGAAAACCTAGGTACTCGTTAAACCTAATGTTGTTAAAATAGGTAAAAAGTTTGACATAATTTATAAATTAAATCAGTCAAAACGAATCTCGCTTAGTCTGCAGGTTCGTTGTGGCTTATGTGTATTTCTATACATACATATTATTCCATATGTTTAGTTTCAATAAAGACATATAACTTTGAATAATAAGTAACTCTATTTTCAATACTTTCTCTGGGATAATATAGATATTTTGGATAATGTACAAGTTGAATGAACTTGTAGTAATCTTATATATAAAAAAACTTTTGTATAACTTATTACAGCTAGCCTGACAATACTAATGGATTGAATTACACGCAGTTGGTACCAAATGAAAGATATTTTCCTCTAAATGTTCAGAATCCCATTATAAATTAAAATAGGCTCAAAAATAAGCACGAAAAATGAATTTGATTTTTTTTTATTAACACAGGTAGGTCTTATGGGTTGCCATCCTGGTGACAAAATAACAACAAAATATAAACAGAAAATCAAAACAAATTCCAATCACAAGTGTTATTTACAGAGTGGGGTGAAAATATAAAAATCTGTACATTACATATTTTTGGTCTAGTTTTCAACCTTGGGGCGACCTCTAGGAACTAATATACTTTTCTTATGGAGATTTAACATGGAGCCAAAATTTAAAGCTTATGACAGCCTTTAGAAGAACTCCATCAAAAGAAAGGTTACCGATGTGCAGGTTTTATTTGTTTATTGAAAATATTTATGTTAATTCTGTCAAAATGGAAATTAAACTTTTTATGGAGATTTAACATGGGGCTAATTTTTAAGCTTACGACAGCCACCCTCACCATAATACTGGACTGATTTAGACTGGTTTGGTACCTATAGAAAGGTTCATATATGTCAGGTTTTATTTGTATTTTGAGAATATTTTTGTTAATTGGGTCAAAAATTGAAATCCAACCTATATTATGGAGATTGAACTTCGTGCTAGTTCTATATATTAATAGACAAGCATGTTTATTCAAAACCTTTTTTCTCAGCTCCTGTGCATCACATGGAAAATCTATGCATACTGCTTTCTAGCAACCCCCCCCCCATGCCCCACAGGCAAATATCTTTCTAGATATTTGCCTGTAGATGTGCAGAATCCCTTTATAAATTAAAATAGGCTCAAAAGTAAGCACAAAAAATTAATTTTAAATTTGGAAAAGATTAACATGGGCCTTATGGGTTGCCATGTTGGTGACGAAATATAAACAGAAAATCAAAAGAAATGGAAGAAATTCCGATCACATGTTTTATTTACAGCGTGGGGTGAAAATAGATAAGTTTACACAATACATACTTTTGCTCAAGTTTTCGACCACGGGGCGAGCTCTAGTATGTATTACTAATATGTCTATAGTATACATAAATAATATATACACATATGCTATACAAATACTTATATTTTAGCAATATGTCAAATATTCTATTTGTTTTATATTAATAGAGGATTGAACCACTTACGCGACACTCGTCATCATCTACGTTGTACCGGAATTTGGCATTTCCTCTAGGCATTATCTCGGCGTCATTCCAGCCCAACAGTTTCAGCCCTCGTCTATAGGTCTTGTGCTCCAGATCAAAATAAGCCACCGAGTTGAGGCAATGATAGGTCAGATTTTGACTTGCACTGGTAGATAGTAGTTGCAGGAAACCAATTTGGTTACTGTCTGCCTTGTAGTTTATCTGAATGAATAACAAAAATTAAAACTGACAAATTTGTTTTCAAGAATGACCAATTTAAGTATATTATTATTGTACAGTAAATAAAAATACGTCTAACACTTTAAACATTGTACTATGTATATTAACACTTATACTGTTTAAACAAGGTGGCAAATATTTGTTATATCTGTATATATGCATAGTTGTATGTGTATATTTGTTACCTAAAGAAGGGTGATTTTTTTGTTTTGTTTTTAGCACTCCGTAAGTTGATTATATGGGACAAATATTGAATGAACATTGTGCCATCCCAGCAGACAGCCGTATGACCATTGTTGTATAATTACATATGGAACAAAATGGCTGTATTTTATTTCATGTAATTGATATGGGATCAATGTAGTACTTTTTCTATTATATTCTATATATATATGAAAGATAGTATGGTAATATTTACCATCTTAACATTACAAGTGTAAATACTCGTAGAGGATTTAAGTGTTATTAGACATATTTTAATTTACTTTCTGTGAAAATAATAACACGTAATATGCTTATTAAGAAGTTAATTTATATTCTTGTGTCGTTAAAGGTCGGTTTTACATCTGCCTTTGCAACTAAGGAACTTCACTAGATAATTATCTGTTTATTTCTCGATTGTTTGTGAATGTTGGTTTTCATTTCTTCAAAATTTAATTCACATGATGATTGTTTTTTTTTTTTTTTTGTTTTTTTTTTGTAGAACCCCTGTTAATCAAATCCAGGTTAACCGAATCCCGGGTTAAGCGAATTTGTTCCATCAAACAAAATAATACAGGGCAGAAAATGCTTAAGTAATTTATGTTGTTTAGTTTAAGTATTTTCTAACCCGTTGTAACATTTTTGTAGCTGAAATTAAACACTGAATTAAATAGACATGGTCTTCACTTTTTCTACACACCGTGGTAATACATTGGCTATTTTTAGCATATGATGGGTTAACCGAAAAAATTGTTTTCCGAAACGGCTCTCCCCCCTTTATTTCGGTTAACGGGGGGGGGGACGGGGGTTCTACTGTATTCTTATGATTAAGTCTTGAGACAATTATGGTTTATTTTCATATTTTTTCTATACAACTAAATGATTGACGTTGTTCATGCATACTTTAACGATGTGAATCAATTAATGGCTCTAATAGGCTATATCACTTTGACTTTCATGAATAACAGTTTTGAATTGAGTTGAACCTTGAAGCCTGCGTCGAGCTCCGATAGCCAGTACTCCTGCTCATCCCCAAGATGTGTTATGTGGGGACTGGCCGCTGGTTGTGGCAGTAGGCATGTCAGTCTTTTCTCAATGTCGCATTGTACCAAGATGGCGTCCCTTATGTCTCCTTCATTCGGGTCCACCCAGTACTCTCCTAGAAAGATTAGAAACGCTGATCAGTGACAGGTCATCATCAGTTATGGATTTAGAATATTTACGATCCTAGGCCAAAATAACCCGAACACCCCTTGCAGCTTCCCCACGAACATTTCCGCGATCACGGGGACATTATTATCATCACCTGCGATCACGGGAAAATCGCGAACATCTCCCTTGATTTGTCGCCATCGTCACCCACAAGAGTAGTAAAATATTAATTAAAAAAAATTGAATCGTTAAATGTTAGTTCTTAAAAGTTATTCTTGTACAAAACCCCATGGCCCCTTTTAAAGCTCGCCACCGGTCATCACCCTTCATTAAGACAGGTATTTAAATTACCTCCACAATTCAGCAATACATGAGTTGAAAAATTGTATTAGCTTTTTATTTTAAATATATGGTATTTAAAGTATATACTTTAAATATTTGGAAAGTTGTAGTAGATTGGTTATACATATTCGTTTCTTTTAACCTTCAATGAATTTTTAGGTATTTTCTAGTCACCCAGTTAATGTTGTTTATTTTATTCTAGCAAGAGAATTCACAATTTTTCATGGATTACTTTTGAAATTTGCAATTTCATTTTTTGTTGATGAGATTATTTGGTAGGCTGTACTAAACGTATCACAGTATGTTATTTCTTTACACCTATCAATTGATTAATTACACTATAAGACTGTGCTTACAATTTAACTGAATAGACCTAGAAATTCAGTTAAGCTTTTTAAGTAAAGAACAAAATATAAAATTATAGAAAGGTTTAGAAAACCACTATTCCCAGTTAACACTTTTAACTATATTGTACTCACCGTTAGGCAGGTTGGGATAAGCAACTGCAAGATCTCTGCAAGTCTTGGCTGGGGCGAACTTTGTTCCATCGGGTTTCTTGAAGCGCTCGAAACTCTGCTTGAGGTGTTCGTAGGCCTTGAGTACCAGCGCTCGCCTCTCCTCTTCTGTAACATCATTGCCAAACAAGCGAGGAGGCTCGTCTCCACTGAGAGGGTCTGGGCCCTGTCATCAAGCAAAACATCGATACTTGGCATGAAATATTTGTTAAGTTATGTACGATGATGAGTATTATCAAAGTTTTAAAATTGTAGACAAAGAAAGTACGTAATGACTGCTAATCATTTTTTTTTATTAATCTACTACATTTTAATTTTTATAAAAAAATGTATGCGTAAAAATTACTCTGAGGTCTGCAACAATGAGTAGTGAGATCATACACAGGATTTGTAATAAAACAGGTGTTCACCTTGCTCGATCCTTGGTTCAAGAGCGCAGCCAACGCAGCAGCGTCATATCCAAGAGGTTCCCCGGCAGGTCCCGGTGGTCCAGGAGGTCCTGGACTTCCCGGAGAACCATCCTTACCAGCCTCTCCCGCGGGACCTCGGGGACCAGCAGGGCCCATGATGCCTGGAGGTCCTGGGTTACCATCTCTGCCAGGCGTCCCTGGAAAGGAAAATAGTATTGATTTTGAGTCAATAGCTTTTATTATTTATATGGTTATAGTGACATTGACTATATAACATGTATTATGATGTGTAATACATTATATATTTGGTGATGCTGTGTAAATCACATATATATATAGATATATGGATTTAGAGTTTGTTTTACAAACTATAAACCGAAATAAATTGAAACATTATGTTCATAACATTAATTGCTAACAAAGGTTCTGCGATATTTTACATTTAAAATATTTTTTAACCCCCCTAGCATATGATGAGTCGGTGGCTCAGTCGGTAGCGTCACAGACTTCGGGCACAAGGCAGCGATGGCGTGGGTTCGGATCTAGTTCGGATCCTGGTCACTGCCGCAAACATTTTATCAGTACAGTTCATCCTTGTACTGTACCGGCTCACCCTTTGCCATGCTGGATACGTTCCACGCACAGGCAGTTAGTCTATGTGGACGGGTAAAGTTAAAAGAGGACACCAACCTCTAAAAAAAAATTAATAAAAATATTAAGGGGTAGGGGGTGACTTTTTTCAAACAGCTACCCCTATTGAGTGACCTCATTTTGAAGGGGCTGTCTAAAGAAACGCAAAGACCAAACCCGAGGTGTACATCTCACCCCTAGCCAAAATGGCAGGTATTCCAAAATTTGATTTAGGGTATGTGAAAAAGCTCCAATTTCACAAATATGGAAACAATCCTGTATTTTTTACCGAAATAGATAGAAATATTCTGTTTGTTGCATTGGTTGTAAGCAAAGATTCCAGAACTTTTTACATTTAAAAAAATGGTTTAACCCCCCCTAACAGGGCAGGGGTAGGGGGTGACTTTTTTTTCCAAATAGCAGCACCTAATGAGTGACCCCTCATGTTTAAGGGGTTTTAAAAATAAATACAATGAGGCTTCAGGTTTTTGTCACTGTATTTCTTCATAACCAACCCTTCAAAATGAGGGGTCACCTAATTAGGGATTGCTATTTGAAAAAAATGTCACACTCAGCCCCAACCTACCCTATTGGGGTGGGGGTAAAAATACTTTTATGTAAAAGATCCCGGAACATTTGTTAACAATCAATTCCAAAAACAGAATATTTTGGTAAAAAATTACAGACTTGTTTCCATATTTGTGAAATTGGCGCTTTTTCACACACCCTAAATCAAATTTTGGAATACCTGCCATTTTGTCTAGGGGTGAGATATCTCCTCCGTTTGCATCATTGTGTTTCTTTTGACAAACCCTTCAAAATGTGGGGTGACTCAATATGGGTAGCTATTTGAAAAGAATAAGTCACCATCTACCCCCTACCCTGTTAGGGGGGTTTAACAAACATTTTTAATGTAAAATATCGGGGAACCTTTGTTAAAAAATTCAGATTTGTTTCCATACTTAATTTACACACTATACTGTATATAGGAGAGCAAAGTTCAGTTTTCCTGTTGTAACCTATTGAAAATGTAAGAGGTGGTATCCATACTTTTGCTTAACCTTGTATAATCAAAAGTTGTGTGCGTCAATCATTTTTTTACCTGGTGTATATCATATTTTTGTAGATTTTTTTGTATCACAAGAGCGATGTTATCGTGTGCATCACATATTTGGTGATTTGTATGTCAGATATTTGTTGTATGTTGATGTTGGATTGGGTACTTACCCCGGAGACCAGGCTCCCCATCTTTACCCGGCAATCCCGGAGCTCCTGTCATTCCCTTCTCTCCCACAGGACCCTAAAACACAACACAGAATCCATCTTGGTAATAACAAATGGTTTTGTTTACAAGCAAACTTGCAAACTTCTTCTCCTTTGTTTTAATTTAAAATCTTTGATTTTAAAATGTATCGAATGTATAAGTGTAATAAAATGAGCCTTGATAATACTCTTAAATATTAACTTTATTTTCAATTCAAATTAACTATTTTTCAATTTTCACAAAGAAAATATATGTATATATACTGTAGGCATAATTTAATAATATTTATTTTCTTTATATAGTTTCATATTAGTAATTTCATCAATAAAATATCTTATAGTTATAAAAAAGATCAGAACTGTTGTGAACAACCACTGACCATATCAACAGCATTTAAACATACTGACTGATAGAACCCATACAACAGCTTAAATATACTAATCCATATAAGTTTTAGATAATGTATATTTGCTATGATTCATTGAAGTGTCGTTGAAATAGAGAAATTATGTGTCAGTACCTGTAGACCAGGAAGTCCTTGAAGACCATTAAGCCCTCTGTGGCCCTTTGATCCCTTGGGCCCTAACTCCCCTCTCTCTCCTTTCACCCCTTCTGGTCCTGGTGGTCCTGGTTTTCCTCTTGGACCCTAAGTTTAAAAAAACAGGATTTTTATCTCATGTCGAGATATAAATTGTGTTGTATTTATAAAAGTAAATATTATCTCATATTAAGTACGGTATGTTTTATTTCAAGCAATAAGGTGTTTTTAAACTTAATAAAATATTAATGAATAAGTTTTGCTCATGATAATGATCAGTTAAATCATTTTATGAATTAATTATTATCTAACATCTCTAAACTCAAAATTTTCTTTAGAAGTTGAGTTATACAATCTGAGCAGAAGTTATTTAGAAAGGCAGGTTTATAAAATGCAAAACAAGGTATTTGCCAAACAACATAGTCAAAACATGTAACCCTACTGGTTATATAGGAACGTATGGCATGTTGAGGTAATATAAACTTTCCTCCATCATATCATAAAATATTTACACTATTTGAGTTCAAAAAATGACAATATCCTTGCCTTTTAAACTATTAATGATAAATACTGTCTGTGTGATGTTTTTTTTAAGTTCTTTGGACCTACCACTTGTCCCTCAACTCCTTGAGGACCTGTTTCGCCCCTTGGACCTCTTTCTCCAGCTGCACCTGGGGGACCACTGGATCCTGGAGGACCCTAGGACAACCATAAAATACCTCTGTAGAAACAACTAGCACAATTAACTATCAAATACCTCAGTGAAATTAAGTGGAACAATGAACTAATAAACTAGTACAACCATAAAATGATATCTGAACAATAAACTAATGGAACATGAATAATATACTTCATCAATAAATCTGCCCAAAATATTATCTATGAACTGTAACTAATGCAAAGTTAAATATCTTAAAGATGAATGTTTTAAATTAAGGTTTTCAAATTTCCAGATATAAGATTTTGTAATGTTACAAAATCGAAGCAATTCAAAAGTTAAAATTATTCAGCAAGCTTCCTATAGAACGTAAAAGTCTAACCATAACATTTGTTTGAATCCTAAACAAGGCTCTTTGAGGCTTTGATATGCTAAACCAGAAGAAAAGTATGTCCAATGTATTTTATTCAAGTAGAAATGTGACATGAATTTTCATTTTGTAAATAATAATATTTTTCTCGTTGAAATTATCATCTGAATACAGATGTTTAAAATATATCATATCAAGTTAAAATATTGATTAGTAATATAGAAAATGTTTTTGAAACCCTACAAATATATCTCTAAACCATGTTTTGAATGTTTTATAACATGTTTATACCAAATTAACCAAACATCAACCTTTAAAGAAAATTTACAAAAAAATATTTTTAGAATTTATTTCACGCCATTCTGTTTTCAACTGGATGTGGGACATACCAAGTTTTGATTCTTCTATCCATATTTTAAAAGATTTATATAAAGGTTTCACTCCTTTGGACAAGACAAGTATCATAAATCAGCTGAAGACAATTTTAAGGTTTGTTTCTACTTGGGTTAGAGGATGTTTTGTTGTTAAATTTGTTAAAATTATTAGCCTTGTGATTGTAGTGTCTTGGACTTTGGTACAACAGAAATGTTCAATCCTGACATATCCACAAACATTTGGCAGATGCTTAACCTTAAAGGTTTAAAATTTCTCCATACAAAATTCCACTGGCATGGACACAAAAAAAAAAAATGTGTTACTGGAGATTACTCACTGTTAGTCCTGGAGGTCCAGGGGACCCAGGATTTCCTGGTGTTCCTATGGGTCCTTTGTCTCCAGGTCTGCCAGTTATTCCAGGAGGTCCTATTTTTCCGGGTGGCCCTTCTGGTCCCTGCTCTCCAAGAGGTCCTGGTGGTCCGGGATTTCCTGGAAGACCCTGGGGTCCTGGAGACCCTTCTAAACCAGGTTTTCCAGGTATTCCTGATTCTCCCTGAAAATATTTAAGGCTTCTGTATATTTATTTATAAAAGTATACACAGGAAAATCTTAGACTATTTGAAAAGTCGGTATAAAAAAGGTTTGTATTTTGTTAGGTATTTAAGTGGCTATGATGTCTTTTGTTCGCCACTGGGGAAAACTATAACTTTTTCATTGTTTGAAATTAAAGAGAGAAGTCATTGGTCTGTAAATGATCCCGATCCCACCAAAAGAATCATCTGGTTTCAATCAGCAGAAAGAACTGCAAAACCATACAACACTTCATACACTAGTTCATACATATTTAGGTTAATGTACACCATCGATGAATGATGAATCCTTATATCAAAGTACTGCAGTAATCGTCAAAATTTATGATATTTCTAAACGTAATATTAGTAGAAAACCCCTTCATTTTTACCATTTTAAATTTATTATATTTTACAGACGAATATTGTTCACATAAATCCTAACTGTTCAAGACGGTTGTAAAGTTTGAATACATTTTAAAGACAATTTTGATCCTGGGAATGCTTTTTCTAAGCTTAAGTGTTTTGGTAATACCATGGGTAAAATTTAAAGTTCTTGGTCAAAAAAATTAATTGTTATAATAATCCAGGCACTAAACGGGTTTCACTGAAAGTCTGTCTAAATTTGACTTTTGATTATTGTTGGGGATATCTAGTAGATGTAAAAATCGATGATGTTGCATTTCTAGGGAGGTCACAACTCGTGGGGGGGGGAGGTTGTGTGAGTGGCTAACATTTCTGTGTCTAGCTTTCAAACGGTTAATGATAACCTACCCCTAAATATATTGTCCTTCAAAAAGGTTATGACAACCTTTGTTCTATCTCTTATTTTTTAGGCCCAAATCAACATTTCGTTACTAAATTTAACTATCTAAATTTATCTATCTTGTTACATTAGTATTTGAATAACATACCACTGTGCCAATAATTAATTGTTATAATATTAAAGTCATTATTTTCAATCAAATTTTTTAAAAAGATTAATTAAAATCGAACGCAATCAAACTGCTGATTAAATTTAAACACAGATGTTTCTAAAGCCTTATAATTGCAGGTTGAGGGTATAATCCTTGGTCAACAGTCCTTTTAATCCCTTGTGAGAAAGATATTGTGTTTTAATATTTTGTAAATTGTTCCATACAAAATTTTATTCTGAATTAACAAACGTTTAGTATAAATTGAAGAAATTATATATGTTTATAGCGTTTTCCGTTGAAAAATTAAAAGCCACTTTTATCAAAGATAGATATTAGATGTCAATATTGCTCTATAAAATGGGTTCAAAAATAATTTATTATTTTTCATAAATTCTAGCAATTTCCCTCGACTATAAACTACTTTTTGTTCAAATCTAGCATCAACAAGTTTCTAGTAGGATGTTCAAATACAGCAAAAGTAGGACTTTATAGAATGTGTAATTGATCCACAAAATGTAAAAAGTAATAGCTGATAACCACTTTAAAACCAGGCAAATTAATAAATATACTTATTAGTTTTTATTCAACTTAACATAAACGAACATATGAGTATTTCTCTTATATTATCAAAAGATTAATTGAAAATTTTATTGATGAATTCGGTAAACAACAATGCCAAAATTCAGATAGAAATAAGAACAGGAGTATTCTTGTGATAGTTACTGTATGGTTGGTAATTATAATTATGGTGATTAATGATTATAAATTAAGGTTTGGAGGTGTGGGTGGGATTTGAAGCTGTAACTGGTGGATGTTGATTATTATGATTAATGATTATGAATCAATGTTTAGAGGTGTGGTTTGTAGCTGTAACTTTGGTGGTTGTTGATTGTGATTTTATAAAGATTATTAACCAATGTTTAGAGGTGTGGTTTGAAGCTGTAACTTTGGTGATTGTAAATTGTGATTTTTAAAGATTATTAATCAATGTTTAAAGGACAGTGGTTTGTAGCTGTAACTTTGGTGGTTGTTGATTGTGATTTTATAAAGATTATTAATCAATGTTTAGAGGTGTGGTTTGAAGCTGTAACTTTGGTGATTGTAAATTGTGATTTTTAAAGATTATTAATCAATGTTTAGAGGCGTGGTTTGTAGCTGTAACTTTGGTGGTTGTTGATTGTGATTTTGAAAGATTATGAATCAATGTTTAAAGGACGGTGGTTTGTAGCTGTAACTTTGGTGGTCGTTGATTGTGATTTTGAAAGATTATGAATCAATGTTTAAAGGACGGTGGTTTGTAGCTGTAACTTTGGTGGTCGTTGATTGTGATTTTTAAAGATTATTAATCAATGTTTAGAGGTGTGGTTTGTAGCTGTAACTTTGGTGGTTGTTGATTGTGAATTTTAAAGATTAGGAGTCAATGTTTAGAGGTGTGGTTTGTTGTTCTAGCTATGTTAGTTGTTGAATATGATAATTAATGATTATGAATCAACATTTAGAAGGCGTGGTTCGTTATTACAATTATATTGGTTAGGAGAATGAATTAATGTTGTGAGAAATTCTCATATAAGTTTTGTACTATTTTGAAATTGTAATTTTGCAGTTTATATGTTAAATGAAGCAGCGCAGTTAACAATAAGCGTTGATTATTTCTCCAGAGTCATTTACAGAAGCAGTAAAGGTATTTTGACACTAGAGACGCCTCTGGAGACAAGGATAACAGTTTTGTTTAATCATCAACTTCCCAGGGGCAGACCCTCTCCCCCTTCCAACACAACCCCACCACCCCCCTGACCAAGAGACAATTCCCTTCATTTATCCCTTCCTCTACTTTCCCTTTATGTCATTTAACTTATCTCTTTTTACCATCTCAATTCATATTCTCCTACCTTTTCATGTTCATTTATTGAATATATGTATTTATGTTATTAATTTAGACTCTTTACCTAAATTAACAGTGAAAACTTTTAAAATGCTGTACATTCTTCCAATGTTTTTCTTTTGTAACTTTAACTTGTATAACAATTTATTATGTTGCAATCAGGTATTTTAACTTTCATCCAAGTAGTTAATTATTTTCTGTACAAAACTATATGTTTTTATTTAGTAGTAGATAGAGCTAAACCAGTTATTCTGTATAAATTTTTGATTACCTACGTTAGTCCCTGAGGATTAGAAATTCTGTTATGTTAATTGTTACCTCAGCATTCACATAATTTTGAAAACGCATGAATCAAATAGTGCAATATGAATTTTTAATTATTTTAAATTCTTACTGGTGCTCCTCTTAGTCCTCTGGCCCCAGCAGGGCCAGTGGGGCCTGGTAGTCCAGGGAGGCCCCTATCTCCTGGGGGGCCCTGAGGACCAGCTGGCCCTGGGTTTCCTTGTGGCCCTTCACCTCCTCGCTCTCCTTTCACTCCCTCTTGCCCCTGAGGACCTGGTAGTCCTGCAGGGCCCGGCTGTCCTGGTCTACCAACGTCCCCTGGTGCTCCCTTTATCCCTGGAACTCCTGAAGGTCCTGGACTACCTGAAGTCCCTGGCTGACCCTACAACCAATCACTATAATTAACCTTCTCTTCACCTTTTACATCTGACTTGCATGAACTATCTGTCCCAGTGGGGGTTGCAGGATAATGTAACTAAAAGGAATTTCAAATTGGTGCCTCAATTGTTTTAGCCAGTTTACAATATGCAAATCTAACAATACGTAATTTTGTGAAACATTTCCAATCAGTAGCAAATGATAAAATGTCCTTATAGTTTCTCTTGTTATTGTTTTTTTCTTATCCAAGATGATTTTAAAATATAATTTAATTTAATTTAAGATTTTTTTATTATTTATTGGTAAGCTCTGTGAGATTTGTATTTAGTTTAAAAAATACAAAATAAACACGGATGATGTATATCTTGTGCTGAGAGTACAGTAGTAAAACATATTTTAAGCATATGTTTACAAATGCTTAAGGGTGGGGAAGTATTTTGATCCTGTACAACTTACAGCCTGACCCGCCTCTCCGGGTCTTCCAGGAGGACCCATCATCCCCTGCTCTCCCCGGGATCCCGGCTCTCCCCTTGCCCCTTTGGCTCCTGTCAAACCAACCAGACCAGGTGGCCCTGACTCTCCTGGGTTTCCTGTAAAACATTCAAGATTGTTAGTATGGTTTCTGTTTTAAGCCTTAAAGACTTCTGAATTGGAGCTATACATTGATAACCAGTGGTGAATTGGGGTGAGAACGAGTGGTAAAACATTCCCACTCTGCTTTTCCCAAAGAAACTATATTTTGGTAAGCGACCCGTAATTTTCTGCAACAATTGTTTTCCCACATTGGAAAATTTATAGCTATACCACTGACATAAACGGACAAAAGCACTTTTGGGTAATTCATTTAGATTTACAGTAAAACCTCACCAAACTGGAAAATTTTAGTAGAGACATCTCTTCTGTTGAACCAAACAGCAGTTTAAAAAAATGTCGTACAGTAAAAATATTTAAGTTAATTAATGTTAATTTTGCTATAGGGTCCTCTTCTTCCGCCAGATGTCCATCTAGCCCCACTTAACGGTGCGATAGATGAATTTGACAAATATTGGCAGAGTTTGGCTGTTACCTCGGGGTACGTGAGATAAATCTCTGCAGGATGATACATGAAGCCCACGATGCCGGCAATGCTTGCTAACACGTTGTATGCAAATTCCCCATTACTGTAAGGGACTCCCGTCATATCGTTGAAGTTTCTTAATTTCATTGTACAATTTCGCAATATCTGCCTTTAATTCAGTGTTTTAAAACATTATTTATAACATTAAATAAATGACAACAGTATCAGGAAGGTTCCAAATAATATTGACAACATCCTAAAGTTTTCTATCAGTGTTAACTTACCAACAGGTCCTGGATTGCCTTGCTCTCCCTTCAAACCGGTGAGTCCTCTCTCCCCTTTCACTCCGGGAAGTCCTACAAGACCTTGTGGCCCAGAGAACCCTTGCAGTCCTTGCGGACCCATTGGTCCCCTCTCTCCTGGACTTCCCGGGGCACCGATCTCTCCAGGGGGTCCTGGGGGGCCCGTGTCCCCTCTCTCTGCCGGTTCACCTGGAGGCCCTTGAGGCCCCACAGATCCTTGGGGCCCTCTTTCACCTTGCCGTCCTATGAATGTGATATCAGAATAAATATAGGTTTAAAGGACAGAAAAAGGGGAGATGAACTATGTTGAAATCTGTGACCCAAATCTTTTAAGCCTTGACTTTTATGAACACATTGTTGTCAATAATTGTTTATTTTACTGACTTTACATTCACTTAGCATAGTAATAGGTGTAATTATATATAAAAAAAGAACTTAGTACTAAATACTAAATAACAAACAGGAGTTTCTCAGGATATATCTTTATATTATCATGTCAGTATTTAAAAGTCTTAAAATTGTAATTTCTTTTGTTGTTTAGCAATTTTGAGATTCATAATATGATTGTTGAAATTCAATGTTGTTTGGTAATTTATTGTTTGTACATTTTTTCATAAAGTATTGTGGACTATTTCCAAGGGAATTCCATGAACAGGGCTATTGGGGGGTTGAAATCATTAAAGTGCCTAGTTAGAAATCAGAATCATTATAATTTTCACAAATATAAACCTTAAGATTTTCAGATAGTAGAGATAAAGTTTGAGACAAGTACAAAATATAGTATTTGTTAAAATAAAGGATTGTCCTACTACTGTACCAAAAAACAGGGTATTTTGTTTACAACTCTGACATATTATAAAATACAACCCCATTTGCCAAACACTTAATCTTTTCAAAGGTTTTTAATAAAAGAATAATGACAATAAAATAACACATCAAACTGCAAAATAACTCAAATGTTCATGGATTTATGACAATTTCCATAGATAACTCTTCTATGGGTTATTTTTGTAAAAATAAATGGAACACCATTGAAAGACACCTGTCCTTATTCAGATAATCATCTTTAAATAATTAGGATAGTGAATGAACTTATTTCAAAACTAATGCAAAACATTAACCTAGCCTGACACATGCACTGGCAGTATAAATAATCTACTTTAATGAGAAAGAGAGGTTTTCTAATGTCCTGAGGATTTGTAAAGTTCAATTTTTCCACTATCCTCATTAACGGTAAAATATTTTTCATGTAACTTCAAAGTACTGTAGTATTATCAGATTTGTTTGGAATTAAATCATGATTAATATTGAAATTCAAGTTATATTTCATGATAAATCATACTTTTTATAGTTTCATTTTAACTTTCAAGTGAAATATATTTTTTTCAAAAGTTCTTCCTATTTACTTTTCGAATATTGAAAAAAATGGGGTGTAATATTTTTTTATCAATACCAAAGTTTTCTGACAGGTTTCACTACTATGATATTATACCATTGGCTATATAACACTATAGTGTTATATAGTCAATGATTATACTCAATAGAGAAATCAGTAAATTATGAAGATAAGAGGTTGACATTACCTGCGGGCCCCTCAGGGCCTACGGGCCCCAGAGCTCCCCTCTCCCCTTTCTCTCCAGAGGGCCCCGGCATTCCCCTCATTCCTGGTAGACCCTACACAAAAGTGTAATCTATATAGTGGTGGCAAAAATGTATTTTTTGTAAAAATTGTATAAGACTATACCCCAGAACTGCACTTACTCACAGAAAAGCAAGGTATAGAGGAAACATTCGATGGTACATCTAAGTGGTGTCTGGCACTAGTGCAATGTCTAGAACCGCCCCCTAGCCCTTATGTACTACAGCGCTCACGTGAAGGAAGACCCTGTGCCCTGTGCATTGGGAATTTCGCACAGTGCTCGCCGCTCAGGCTCTTCCTTGCTCGTCACTAGTGTATCTACACTCATCCTTCACTCATATTTGGGTTAAAATACGCACCTAGGTGGCGTCCCCATCTCAATAATTGATAATTGATAATTGATATTTCTGGCACAACATGCTAGAAATGAATGCGGTCCCATAAGCGTGTTGCCTCTGTGCCTTATTTCTCTGTGACTTAATGTTTTGTGTGTAGACAGAAAATTGTATTTTTAAGAATCTTCCTGAATGCAATATGTTAGTTTTGATAAGTATTTGGTATTAGTATATTATCAAAGTTTATTTATTACTGATGAAATTTCATTTACTTCTTAACTCTAAATGTAAAAAAACCATAAAATATCAAACTGAATGTTTTTAGACTGTAAGAGGTGTATTAGTGTGCAGAGATAACAACTATTTATTAACAGTAGTATGAACTACTTTGCAGTTTTACGTGGGAATTTATTTCAATCCAATCTATAATTCTAGCTATACTTAAAAAGTAATCTTTAATTTGATCTACATCTTTGAGTATGTTTTACTATGCATTGAGTTGTATGTATAGCTGACTGCTGTACTCACCACCAAACCAAGGGGTCCTGAATGTCCTTTCTCACCTCTAGCTCCTGGCGGACCCTGAAAATAATTATGGGAAAGTTGATCATAAGATAAATGCAAAATATTAACTTTTAACCCTGGAACTCCCTGTTTGATTCTCTAAAATTCCAGTGAATTTTTCATTGTAAATTTTTAAATGAATAAAAGTTATTATTTATAATAAGGGTACCTATATACTTTATTGTACAGTAGAACCTCGATAAGAAGACCCTCTATAACAAGTCACCCTTGATAACAAGGGTAATTTTCAAATCCCCTTGAAATTATTTTACCCCTAATCACATGTTATTGCAAACCTCGATAAGAAGTCAACCTTGATAACAAGTCTTTTTTATGATCCCTGTGAGAGTCTTGTTATCAAGGTTCTACTGTATAACATTGTCTTCAGGAAGAAACACATGACATCTTTATTTGTCGATTATACTAAAAATGCCATACTATATATTTTGTATGGGTCATTTCCACACACACCATACATGGCACCTATAAAGGTTTCATCATAATATGGTACCTATAAAAGTTTCATCATATAATTTTTTTTTTTTTTTTAGTTTCATTATATAAATTTGTTTATATTTTTTATATGTATTGTTTCTTGTCAATTGCTCAGAAGAAAATCAATGTTTTATTGTTTGTTTATGAAAAGACTCATCAGTTGACGTGAAATTGTCGTCAGTAGACACAGGAAACAAGAATTCAATTACAACAACACAACAAAAATAAAATACTACGGGCGAGTTAACAGAACAGCCAACATATTTAACTTTATACCCTTGCCTAATATAAGTCAATCCATTGGTTATAAGCTTAAATATATATGTAAAATACTGGGTCAGTCATTTTGTGACTGATAGCAATACAGAATGGACCCATAAAGTTACCGTTTGGCAGTTCTACTTTCAAATTAATTGACCAGTCATTATGAATTATTATTGCAACACTAATCTACTTTTCATAAGTTTCTAAATAATATTATAAACTGGTCTGCAATGCTTTTAAGGACTCTTACAGAATCCCTTTCAAAATGATATTGTACAAAATCCTGGATTTCTTTCCTGAGAAAAAACAAATACAGTTCAAAATAATACAGTACAAAATATGAAAAACCTACTGTTATTTTAAAAGTAAATCAAAATAATATTTTACAATTTGAAAACACAGAACCCTTAAGTTATATAGCAATTATATACATGGAATAGAAAGATTTGTATTTATACTTGAAACTTGCTCTTGGAAAATATGAATACTTTTTGCTGAATCCCATAAATGACTGAATAAACTTTTTGTATGGAAATAAAAAAGGTAAAATCAATTTACGTTTCCCAAAGTAATAACGATTACAGAAACCTTTTGCAATGTGGGATTAGCTCTTTTAATCAAAACTTTATATGTGTTCAGTATATCACAAGCACACGATCACAGAGTTCATATATTGTCCAATAAAGATTATTTTTAAATTTGTTAAAGATAAAATATTGTTTTGTATCACTCATTTTTATAATTGGTAAATTCAAGGGAAAACTGAATGAATATTTTATGATAAGCAGACCAGCTTACTCCTTAGAAATTGTTTTTTTCTTGCTAATCCATCTGATCTAGAATAGTCCTATATTTTATTTATTTCCAATAACATGCAACTAAGTTATCAAATACTATATACCTGCTAACTTAAAATGTACAAACTTGTACTTTCATGAATAAATATGTTATTAGTTCATTGATAGATACTAATTCTTACTGAAAATTTATATTTAGAAAATGGTGCAATTATGATATCCAACTGTTTTCAATTGTTTTTTTTTTAACTCCATATTGTATTAAATCAATGTTTTATTAAATTTTTTTACTACTGAAGTAAGTTTTAGTTGTCACATAAAAACAACTGTAAACTAAATATAATGTGCTATTTGTTTGCAGTGTCTTTTTTAAACTAATTTTTCAAAATAATTGTCTCTCTTTTAAAAAGTACCACTTTCTCACTAGCTTGGTAATAATAACTATGTTATGTTGTACTGTAGTGCTTACTCACCGGGGGCCCATCGCTACCTTGTGCACCAGCTTCCCCACGAGACCCGGCCGGTCCGACGGGGCCCACAGGACCCCGCTCTCCTGGGAACCCTCTCTCCCCCCTCGAGCCTGCAGCTCCTGGTGGTCCCGGGGCCCCTTGGATTCCCGGCTCTCCATCCTTGCCGGGCGATCCTGGATTGCCGGATATACCAGGCAGGCCCTGCGTAGGAAATAAATAATAATTTAAGCATACAAAATGTATTAGAATATAACCATGTATGTATGTAAGGGCTGGTCCAGTAGACTTACGGCACACCAGAATCTAAAGATTAGGTTGAAGATTAATGAAGGTACCAAGACAAATAATGCCAAATTTTCTTGTGGCTAAAGAAAAAGTATGACACTAATAGAGGGAAAATCAGTATACCTAACAAACTTATTTCAAAAATATATCAATAATTAAGTTTAATACACATTCAATGTCAATAAAATCGAAACAATCCCAAACCAATACACTACATCATGAATGCATGTTTTTAGTAGTGCATTCTTAACCTATCCTACAATCCTCCTTGATTTAACAAACTAAAACTTTCTATCTAGAACCATCTCAACAGATTGCACCATGTTTTTTTTTTTTTTTTTCTTCAAATTTTTACATTACATGGGAAGTCTATTCTGTGTATAGTCAATGATCAAACATTTGAAAGGAAAATTGGTTTCAAACCCTCAAATCAATGTGAATTTTCAGGAGAATCATGTCAATCTTACATATTGAAGTCCAATCACTTGTGTTGACACATCCATTGCTCAGAATATTATAATGGCAATATTGTTTTCAATGGAGAACAAGTTGACTCAGAAGACATTATATTCAGTGATAAAACTAAGTGGAAAGTGTTCATTAACTTTTTCTGTGAAAAGTTTTGCTTGTCTTATGTGGAATTGTAAGCACCTGGTCAGAAGTTAAAGCTAAAAGTTCTTACAATGTAACCTACATTTTTGGTAAAAATATCATTTCACTTCAGTACAGAAAATAAATTAAGACCATTTGGGTATATTTGTTATATTGACTTCGTCCTCATATTTATTTTCTTTAATTAAAATCATTCCTTAATCTAGTCACAATATCATTTGCTCACTTGGAAACCGGTTGGACCTGGTGGACCTACTGCTCCTCTCTCCCCATCTAATCCTGCAGGTCCCGGAGGTCCTTGTATACCTGGAGGTCCTTCTTTTCCTGGATCTCCACGGGGTCCATTCATTCCTGGTGGTCCTGGCTCACCATCCTTTCCTGGTTCTCCCTACAAAAATGCATTTTAAACTGTTTATCAATGTGTCCAGTATTTACATATACTATATAAACTAGTGATTTTAATATTAGCTTTCTTACTTCAACAATTAGCTAATATTATTATAAACAATAGATGGTTGACTATCATAATTTGTATTATGTATTTGGGCATGGATGATATTTAACATTTATTATACTTACTTAACATATACAGCAGTGATAAATTTAATAAATGGGCCCGGGAGTACAAGAGGTTTTAGGTTTGCTAGGGGCGCGAGGAAAAAATACCCACACAAGGTGTTATGAAGCTACTGAAATTAAGCTATACATAAACTGACAAAATCACTACTGGGCAATTAATTTAGATTCAAGGGAAACTCTCACTAAACCAGAACGCTTTAATACGGACCTACTAATCTAAATAATTGTTATTCTTGTTTATTTTTCCTTTCAATATAATTATAATGGTCTAGTTGGAGAGGGCAAAGATATCTCTCGGTCCCATAGTGCATCGCATGCAAACCGTAGGCCTTTGTACAGCCTTACCTGAAATATAATTCTACATCTTATCAATTTTAAGAATCATAGTTTGGAGCGAAACTTGAATGATACGACCAATAATATTAACAAGACCAATTAAGTATAAAAGTATAAGCAATCTTCTCTACCATCTTCATTTTTTGTGTCTCGTGCAATCAGTATGTGTATCCATAAAGAATCTTATGACTAAAAGATTTTAAGTAAAGTAGTGATTTATTTAAAGTAAGCATAAAATTGTTTGCATAAAACTTCAAGCGTTATATCAACAGAGTGGTCAAGTGATGAAAAAGAAATATGAAAACTTACTGTTATTCCCTTATCTCCTGGAGGACCCAGAGGTCCAGGAAGTCCTTGAAGTCCCTGAGGTCCCTGATCTCCTGGCTTCCCATCTGCTCCTTGTATCCCTCGCTCTCCTGGATTACCCGGCTTTCCTGGCGCTCCTGTTCGACCTATAGGTCCTCTCAAACCCTAAAAAATATATATTTATAAAAAAATATATAAAAATACATATTTATATTTATTAATTTTTATACATATATATTTTTTTAATATTGTTAAATCTTCTATTCAGGTTGAAAAAAAACTCATTTCAACCTCACTTACCTCCACAAACAAAATACAAAACTGTTTCCCAATTTGTAAGAGCTCAACATAATCTTCATAAGGTCAATAGAATTTGTATCTTAACCCTATCAAGTGTTTGTAACATGAAACACACTTTTGCTAAACAAAATTCTTAAATTGACAAAACTAGGAAATTTCTTTATGTTGCTGCAAATGAGCAAACAACCAGTGCTCATTTGCAGTCATCTACTTATATTCAGTTTGTTTATACTTAAATCACTAAGCCAGGGGTCTCCAACCTACAGCCCGCGGCCAGATGCGGCCCGTGAACAGATTTTATCCGGCCCGCAAAGGCTTACTGGGAAATAATAATTTTCATTTAATTGGTATAAATCGATGATCGTCAAAATGGCAGCAACACCCGTAAGTAAATGTTTCAATCTCAGAGATAACGTGATCGTCATTCACGATCGCGGCAACCCTCGTGAGAATATTTTGCGGTCTCGGCAATACCATGGTCATCATTCACGGTAGCAGCAACACTCGCAGGTAAATGTTGCAATCTCGGTAATAATGAGATCCGCATTCTCGATCCCAGTGATAATACGCTTGTCATTCGCGATTGCGGCAACACTCACAAGCATTTTTGTGGTCTCGGAGATACCGCGATCGTCTCCCATGATCCCGACACAATATCTTTTGCGGTATCAGTAAAATTTCTACGATGATATTCAGTGATCGTGATTTATTTATGACAAAGTATATGAGAAACACCGTTTATATACAAAAAAGTTTTTATGTCAGGTAGGTCAATTATTTTGTTTGGTCACAGTATCATTGGCAAAAGCGTACAGAATTTTTGTTAGTCAAAAGGTTAAATAGCAACAAAAAATCTGCAATAAATGTAAAAACTTTATCAATGAGCTTTTAATTATAAAACTTCCTCTTTGTGGGTTATTTAGAGGGGGGCTCCCCTTATGCCCTGAAACGTTGACGGTCCGGCCCGGCCTGCATTTCCTCCAACAATTTTCAATGTGGCCCTTGAGTAAAAAAGGTTGGAGACCCCTGCACTAAACTATTTAATTGTTTTTTAAATATGCTTTAATTTTTAATCTCATTACAAAAATTAAAAAAAAAACGTGTTAACTAGTTGCTTCTAATATATGAAACTTATTATTGGCCAAAATCTTAGAACGTCTGGTACTCAATTGAATCGGCGATTTTCTGGAACAAAAGATCATTCCACAACTTTCGATCTAGCAAGTCTTGTTGTGGCCAAGTTTTAAACCTGACCCAACACATTGAGGATGGGTTTGAGAGAAAACAGATCACGGGTGTTGCTTTTGTATATTTAACAGCCGCCTATGATACCGTAAACCATCGAAGACTCTTGGGAAAAGTGTACAGTATTACCAAAGACTATCAGCTGACTTCAATGATAGGCTCTTTTCTTCATAACAGAAGGTTTTTCATGTCCCTTCAAGGCAAGAAAAGTAGATGGAGGAATCAAAGAAATGGATTGTCTCAGGGTAGCGTCTTTATAACATACATACTAACGACCAACCGTTGCCAAACGCTACACGTCAGTATATATATGCCGATGATACGGCAGTGGCAGCACAAGGTAGGAGTTTTGAAGAGGTGGAACAGAAGCTGACTACGACTCTAAATGAACTTTCCCAGAACTATATGACGCAAATCACCTCAATCCGAACCCTGCTAAGACCCAAGTTTGTGCCTTTCACCTAAACAATAGAGAAGCAGGCCGTGAGTTGAATGTGACCTGGCGGGGAGACTGTCTTGAGCATTGCCCTACAACTAAATATCTTGGTCTCATACTGGACCGCACACTGACATTTAAAGTGCACTGTATTGCGACAAGGGGTAAAGTCTCAGCAAAGAATAATAACATCAGGAAGCTCACCAGCAGATGCTGGGGTGCTAACCCTAATGTCCTCAGAACCTCAGCTTTAGCGCTCAGTGTGTCGGCTGTGGAGTACGCTGCACCAGTATGGAATGCATTATCATATGCAAGAAAGGTTGACATTGCAGTCAATGACATGGCTCGGATTGTAACTGGGTGTTTGAAACCAACCCCATTACACAAACACTATCCTATCATAGAGGATCGCCCCTTCATCAATCCGACAAGATGTTGCTGCCGACGTAGAAAGGACTAGGCAAGAGACGGACTAACCCTCCTCACCCATTACACGGCCACCAACCTGTAGAGTGACGGCTTCGGTCCAGGAAAGAGCTTTCTATCACGGACACGAGTTCTGGATGGATCACTCTCAAGCAACCGGGTGGCAAGGTGGAAGGCTACGTTGACTTACCCTCCCATACCAGCCAGGAAGGAACTGGCTCCTGGTGGAGACCTACATTACAGGGTTTAGAAGACCCTATACCGATTCAGGGTCGAGGTACCAAAATGCAAGACAAACATGCAGAAATGGGGGTCTCTTACCAGACGATGAAAACATCTTGTGTGCGTGCGGTGATGTTCAGGATCCTGGCCATCTGCTGATCTTTCTACGCCTAGACCAGTCTTGCACATTAGATGATATTTTACAAGCAAATGACAAAGCCATATTGGTAGCTAATTTTTGGAAAAGTGAAGTCTGATTTCCGGACATGGAAAGTAAGTATTATTGTTATTGGCCATTGCCAGATCTTTTGTAGTTTTGTACATCAATCAGGCAATTGATTCTGATTATTTGCATAGAGAACAGAAAGTTAGAGGACGATTTGGTTATCCAATAGTTGCACTAGGACACTAGGAATCATATTGGCCTCTACCACGGAGAAGTAAGGTACAGGGGAAACATTCAATGATACACTTAAGTTTAGTATTATTCGCTTGTGTCTAGATAAAAATATAACACCGCCCTCATGTACTACAATACTCACGGTGGAGGAAGACCCTTTCTGAGCCTTGTACGATGGGAATTTCCGCACAGTGCTCACTGCTTGAGATCTTCCTTGCTCGTCACAAGTATATTTCCGTCACAAATTTCTAGAGCTGAAACGCTGAAAGTGTACGGACATCTTTTGTAAGTTTCCTTTGTACCTTACTTCTCTGTTCTTCTACAAACTGAAGGATTGAGAGGCCAGCAATGAATGATACTGCTAATTTAACAAGCGGAGACAACAAATTGGGCCTTGGTCACAAATTTGTGTACCCTTTAGAGTGTCTCTAAAATTATTTTCTTCAGCATCGTAGCATCATTCTATTGGGATATCCCTAATGTATTGTTAGTCGTGTGTGAGTGGCTCACCTGTAACCCAGGGGGACCTGGTCGACCAGTCTCCCCAACTGACCCCTTCAAACCCTGAGGTCCCACGGGTCCCTTGTCTCCAGTCTGTCCTGTAGAGAAGTACATAAATCATTATCATATACTCAGTGATTATAATGCTAACCTAGTAATCAAAAAGGTCACCACATCGATCCTGAGAAAAGTGTATAGCTTTTTGATGGTTCGAATAGGCCCGCGGTTTGTATGTGATGCGCTATGGGCCCGAGCGAATTGTACCACTCTTGACTTACATTGTGTGGGAATTTTTCTCTTCCTTGCGCCCCCAACAACCTAAAACCTTTTGCCCACGGCCATACCGGTACTGGGTTCAGAACTAGACCCAGCTGCCCTTGATCATTAGATTGGCCCTAGAACCGTGGATTGGGCTTGTAATAAAGGGTCCTGTCTAAAGAAACAGCTGATCTTAGTCAGTAACAAAGCTACACAAGGCAGAATAGACTGAGATAATTCATGTACCTGGGTTAGTGACCAAGAGCAGTCGTTTTATTAGTCAAACATTTTTTTCAGAAGCCCAATGATCAAGTACTGCTTTGTCAAGTTTCAAACTATCAAAAAGCTACACATTTTCTCATAATCGATCTGTTGAGCTTCTAATCACTAGAGGGCACTATAACTAGTTAGATACTCAGGTATATCATCCATTTGATGTAATATTTTATTTATATCTTTTACATAATTCTAAAATATGACACTTAAGTTTGGAAATATTTTAAAAATCAATTTACAAATTCTCATACAACTGAATCGTTAAATCGGGAACAATGTTCACATTTTTACAATATACTGGGTAACGACAGGAACATGTACTCTGGTGTTAATTACAGCAAGTGTTCTCTTTGTGTGTTACTCTTAACTCCCTGAGCGTTCAGCTAATTAATTGTCTTTGTTTTACAAAATTTTTCTCCTTAATTGAACTTTCGTTACGGTGCAAACTAGATTTGATACATATTTACTCATTTATTTCAATACTTAGATATAAATTAAAATAAATTCTTAGTATTGATGAAGTTAAAAGTTTCCATATGACGAATTTGTAAAATATTTAGATTGTTGATTGATTTATCTTTTTCTTTGAAGGATAATTAATAACATAATAGGTACTTAATAATCATATATTATATGGGGTTGGTGAAATAACGCTACTCGTACTATAAAATTAACCTAATATCAAATGCAAAAGGTTTTCTGTGATCCAAAGTGGGATGAGATCTCACATGAGGTCCTGAAAATACATGAAGAGCTTGCACTGCTGCAACAATATTTATAATATTGATCGCAAGGGCGCACACCAAATAAATAGCAACCCGACTAGAGGCACAGGCGTGCTGAATCAAAAAACTTCCATTCTGGATTTGAGAAGAAGCTCGTTCCGCAAGATTTAACAGGTGTTCTTCATCCCATACCATAAGATGCGATTCATTTTTCCTGAAGCAGTGGAAATTCTTCCACTGCACCGGTCTTCTGCAAGAGTTGCCAAAAAAGTGTTTCAAGTTTGCTCCATGTTTCAGTTTTTGTAATACCTTTAGGTCCAGCTGCGCCGTCAGCTCCAGGTAGGCCCCTAGGCCCAGGTGCCCCTCGTTCTCCTGCAGGGCCCATCGGACCAGTGGGGCCCTGTGGCCCCCTTTTCCCTCTCTTGCCCTCTGGCCCTTGAAGCCCAGCCAATCCCCTGGGGCCCACAGCTCCCAACTCCCCTTTCACCCCCGGCTCTCCCTTGTAACCTCTCTCTCCTGCCGCTCCCTACAAACAAGTCAGATCATTTATTGATAAATAGAGCAATGCATTCTGAAATTAGAGTTGTACTCATATGTTAAAAGTTAGATACACTTTCAAATTAATATTGATTAGGACATCTAATTAATTAGATGTTGGCTAAGACATTAGGGCCGTGGTAGTGAAGAGTGGGATTATTAGAACAAACAATTTTTCTTATTTTCCAGCTGTGAGCAATACGGCTCTGAACATGACACATTGTAATCTAATGGCTAACCAATGTCTAATTTAATGTGATCTAAATAATATGAGACCTTATACACGCCTCGGCAATTCATTCATTATTCTTCTAAAGTAGTTGAAGGTTTAAAAAATCACTCCTGCAAACATCCCCCCAAAAGATGTAGTTTTTTTTTTCCTTTTAAGAAGAAACCTTTTCTGTTATTTTAGTCTAAGGTTTTGCTTCTAGGTATCTTCTAGGGCCAGCCAAGTTCCCTGATCATATATGACTCGACATTAGTACCTGGAATGAACCTTTCTCGATGCTAGATGTATAGCCTAATTGGAATAAAGATAAAAGACAAAGTTTTATATATTTACGAGTATACGAAGTCACAAAACAATTAAACTCATTGTTCTACATTTAATTTTCTTTTTTCTTGAAAATTCGGCAAAAACCATAAGAATCCAAATGAGTCTTAGAAGTTAGATCATGAGAGTTCTCCTATGATCCTGTAGAATCAGCCAGTCTGCATATTCTACCAACACTCCACTGACAACTGTTTAAAAGTTTTACTTTTGTATAGGGAGGTCCTTTACAATTATGTAGTTTATGCAAGATCTGGTCATTTTAGAACTGGCAATCCCACTTCACGGTTGGAAGATGAGCCATTTGAAATTAGGCTCCTTCTTGACTCCTGGTCTTAGTATACTTGTGGTAACCCCCCTTTTATTTATTTTATTTTTTTCAAAAATAATAATAATAAAAGAATATTAGTGATAAGTGAACCAACAAATGGTTTGTATAATATATTGTTATGTTTCAGTATTGCTGTATCTTGAAGGAACGGAATTCTTACAGGAAGTCCTTTGGGACCTTGTGGTCCCACACTGCCTTGGAGACCTGGGGGACCCCTCGCTCCTGGGAATCCTGGAGGCCCTGCAATCCCATTGGTGCCTGGGCTACCTTTCTCTCCTGGAGACCCATCCTTGCCAGGGGGACCTGGCAGACCCACTTCTCCTGCTAATCCAGGACGTCCTGACTCTCCTACAAGACAAATCATTTATTCCGTTACAACTCTATGTTAAGTCTTTATATATGATCAAGGAGAAAACAAGAAATGCAGTGAACATTTCATAAACCTACATGTTTTAGTTGATTTTTGTAAGATTATAGCCCTAATTTTAATAAATTTTACTTATAAGAAAGTTTTTCTATACGGGGGGTCATCCCGCACTATCAATCCCATGTAAATTTCTTCAACTTAAGGTACATTTTTCTAAAAAAGTATTAGGGGTAGGGATCTAACTTTGATGTTACTGAAAAGAGTGTATGTTAATGAGTAATTACTATTGGTAACAATTAAAATACCAATCAGGTGATTTCTTTTTTTTTATCAGCTGTTTTTTTTTTAATTTTACTTGTATATTTATTTATTTTACATTTTTTTTTATCTCCCAAACTATAAAAGATAATGTTCTTAATTTTTTTATCATTTTTAATCAGGTCTTTCTGCATTTTTTCCATTAATAACATTCTGATATACATGGTCTACAGTTTAAAAAATATTTACTAAACTTACTAAATTATTATCAAAATCAATAACAACAGCTTATTTAAAAAAAAATAGTTTAAAATTACCCGATTGGTATTTAAAAAAGTTACCTATTGTAATTACTCATTAACATACACTCTTTTTAATAACATCAAAGTTAGATCCCTAACTCTAATATTTTTTTCAGAATGTACCTTAAGTTGAAGAAATTAACGGGGGATAGATAGGCGGGACGACCCCCCATAAGGCGCTAACGTTTGGTCTCGTTGCAAATAGCCATCATTAGAGCAGGAGTCAGGCACTAATGACTAATGGTTGTAAGTCTGTAGTAGTGCCAGATTGCTCTGATGATGGCTATCTGCAACAAGACCGAAACGTTAGCACCTAGCTGTAAGTTTATGTTTGTGACGTTGTTGAGCCCAGAATGCCAGGTTTGTGGTGTTAGTGGAAGCCTGAGCTCTATTTTACCTCTAGGTCCTTGAAGTCCTTGACTACCCTTGGGTCCTTGAGCTCCTTGGTCTCCTTTGGCTCCTGGAGATCCTGGAAAACCTGGAGGTCCAGGTTTACCAATAGCTCCCTAAAATATAATCATAGGTAGATTAAGGCTTTGATTAAAAATCTTACCCTGAGCATGTTTTTTTTTTGTTTTTTTTTTATAGCTGCACACATTGGGAACATCATCAAGGTACAAATATCATTTATAGAGCAAGATTTAAAAGTGAAAGAGGTCACAGATAAAAGTATAGGGACAAACCCTTGATAGTCATAAGAAATTGACCATCTGCCTGTAAAATATGATAACCAGTTTATTTTGTATTATTCTTACTATTTCAAGGTAATCTCTTCTTAGAGTAAAAATGATTTTCACTTTTTAAAACTGCACTCATATATTTGTAAGTTTTTTTTTCTTTACACATCAAAGTAAACTTTCTCATGTCATATTTTACTTTACAGCCTAAGACTTTTTTGAAGCAATACCTAACTGTGTAAATAAATAAAAATGCAACAAGTTTTGGATGAATTCTTGGTAAAAATAATCTAGAGCTAATACGAATATAAAAAAATGCTTATAGATAACAAGTAAATAAATAAATTTATTATATAAACATACTGGTGAACCAGGAGTCCCCGCCACACCATCAATACCTCGCAGTCCGGGTGGCCCTGGTGGTCCTTCACGCCCCCGCTCCCCCCGCGGCCCCGCCGGACCCTGGAATAGCCATCAAAATGAACATTAGAGTAATATATATCTCATCAGGAAAAAGTAATTAATATAGGTCCAAGCATTCTAAAAGTAATAATCAGCAATTATAAAAAAATAAAGAAGTAAAAGTCCTTCAGCTACAGCAATTGATTACCTTTGTCAAATACTAAAATGCATGTTTTCAAATTGTAAAGTCTAATACATGTGCTCCGAGGATAATTCAAATTGCATTAAATTCAAAATCGTCAGCAACAGGGATTGTAATTTTTATTTTATTGTTACCTAATGAGTTAGAGACAATTTAATTGTAGAAGCTGAAAGCTTGGAGCAATCTAAGAGCAATAGTTTGAAAATGATCCGTACTACTATATTAAAATTAAAATGCATGAAAGTGGTCTGATGAAAGTTTATATTCAATGTTTGTAACATTTCCATAAAATCCAGTGGCTGCTATTACAAATAGCCGTTGCAATTTCTATTTGATAATTGTTGTGTGGTCTAATTTAGTTCATTATGCTGCTAAAATGAAGGTAAACACATATCGATAGTATACATTTGACAATTTGATTAGTTGTTACTTGCCATAGGACCTATGGCTCCCATTGGACCAGATGGTCCTTGGATGCCTTTCTCCCCTGAAGGACCTTGCTCTCCCTTGGATCCGTCCAGACCAGGAAAGCCCCGATGACCCTTGATGCCTGGAAGCCCTGGCATGCCAGGGAGGCCCCGGGGACCAGGGGGCCCAGATGGTCCTGCAGCCCCAGCCTCCCCATCTTCTCCTTGGTCTCCCTGTAAGAGAAGGAAAACAAAAATCGCACATTGCAGCAATTTATGCACAAGATCTATGGGTAAATCTCCTGATATTTTAATTTTAATCAGAGTCTTTTGTGGATGACTTTTTTGACAGACTTCTTTCGACAATATTGTTTACTATAACAAATTTGATAATATTTTATTCGTTTATTTCAAATTTGGCTTCAATATGTTGTTTCACCCATGGTTTCCAATGGGACCTATTACATAGTGCATTTTTAGTTTTGATGTTTGGAACCTTTACAGTCAAGTTACAGAAAATAAAACACTCAACAATTGAATTTCAAATTGTTGTATCTTACGAGGGATTGAGTCTTGTATAGATAGAGCCTATTATAGTCGTTTTAATGGAACCTGTCTCCTGATCCTCCATTTTCCTTGGACTGACCCGTGTTTTAAACCATTGGCCAGTTCCCAGGTCAACCTCTGGGCAGGAGACAAGTTCCATCATACAGAGTATACATATGTACATATGTATGTATATGCTGCAACTAAATTTCATAAAATTTCAACTGTGCTTATGCGCTCTATCACTCAGCTACCAATAGCTGAATACAAATTTTTTGCCGTTCTAAAGGCAAGCAAAACTTTATTTCAACTTCCTGAAGCAAAATTTCATAGGAAAATATGCTATATATGTACAGGCAGATATTTAAAATTGGAACTGAATCTCACAAATCAAACCTGCATTGTGATGATCCTACTTACGTCTTTCCCTGGTGAACCTGGAGGTCCCCTAGGTCCTGGAGGTCCTGGAACTCCTGGAGGTCCCTGTTCACCAGGCTCCCCTCTGACTCCCTGGAAGCCCTGAGGTCCTACTGCACCAGATGGTCCTAAACAAACAAATGAGTCTTTGAGATAGGATACATTTAATTGAAGTATGCAAACAATGCCAATGTTTTATCAATTTATTGAGATGGGGACAACACCTAGGTGCATATTTTAACGCAAATACAAGTACAGTAAATAAATAGAATCTGTCAGATGTCAAAAACTCAATTCATACTTCTTTTTGTCAATAGTTGAAACAGTTTTGTGCAATACAGCACAAGTAGTTTGGCAGATTTATTATGATAAAGTGTAGCAAGAAGCAAGGTTTATTTTAATTACAGCCCTAAGCAACATCAGCTATCTTTTCCAAGTTAAATGACAAATCATAATTACTTTAATTTTACTATTATAAATAAAACAAGCAGCTCTAAGCAATGAAATTAATTTTATCTACAATAGTTTATTGCAATTATATAATTTTTTATTATTTTAAGAGGAACAAACATATATTTCATTCATTCTTTTATTCATTAATCCATCCATTAATTCATCCATTTCTATTCATCTATTTAATCATTCATATTTTAACTTTATGATTATATTTAGTGAATTCTGTTATTCAGGACAGCGTATTGTACCTGGGGCTCCCCTGGGTCCTACAGGTCCTACTTGTGCCTGGAGGTAGTGGAATGCATCAGGGATGGCACTGTAGGGCTCCACCCCGCCGGGTCCCTTGTCATTGCCAGCGTTCACTAAAGCCAACTGGTTGTAGTATGAAGACATCTGAGACATATGACAACCTTTCATTGTCAGTAGTACACAATTATTTTAGTAAGTAAAAGGATAAATAAAAAGTTTTAGGATGGTTAAGTATGTTTTGATACAGTATACCAGATCAACTAACTTAGGTAACCTTTTTATTAGATTGAGATTGAACATTTAAAAGCAACTTTGAATTCTCTCTAAAGTAATATGTTTTGACCCCAGACTCTTTAGAGGGAATTCCATATCCTAGTTACTTTTGAGTATCCTAAAAGTTTTCAAAGTTTATGCACCACTCTATACCTAACAACACTTTTAAATAGAGGATCCACCTGCTTGGATAACATTGCAGTTTGGCCATTTTTCAGAAAATTGTGTGTTTAGCGAACAGTTTCAAAATTGTTAAACTTCCATTAAGTGAAACAGTATTTCAAAGACATCGAAGAAAAGAGAAACCTCACGCCTTGAGTTTTGTTCAATAAAAAAATGAAGGAGGTTAAATTGTTAATTTGAAGGATATTATAATTTTTTTATGCAGTAATGTAATATAGTCCAGGCAAATTAGATCAAATTTAGGGAGTGCTCCCCAAAAAATCGTCTAAAGCTGGACAGTGTTTTAATACCTTTTGGGGGTCCCAAATAAGAGTCCTGTGAGTTTGCGACGGATTCTGACGTCTGCTTAAGTTTTGGGAGTCGAAAAACTATGAAAATGTTGCACTTTTTTCAGTTTTTCGCTTATAACTCCTAAATAACGAATCCTACGGAAAATGTTGTTCAAAGGTCTCTTTTAGTGCATTAAATTCCGCGTCGATTGGTGTTAAATACGTTAAAATCGGCCGAGCCGTTTAGCCGAAGTAGCTTTCTAAAGTTGGGTCATTTTCATCAACATGGCCAAAAAGTTGATTACAGTATTTGACCACTTTTCGGCTTACAACTCCTAATCGACGCTTGCTATACAAAATACACCTGTAGTTAGTTTGGAAAACACAACATTCTGCGTAATATGTTTTTTTTTACCAATCAATAATGGTAATTGATTGCTACCTACTTTGTATAGTCGCCATTTAATTGAAAAAAAAAAATAATATTAAATATTAATTTTAGTAAAACTTTCCAACTTTAACTTTAATATTTTTTTAAATTAAATGCCGACCATACAAAGTAGGTAGCAATCAATTACCATTATTGATTGGTAAAAAAAACATATAACGCAGAATGTTGTGTTTTCCAAACTAACTACAGGTGCATTTTTGTATAGCAAGCGTCGATTAGGAGTTGTAAGCCGAAAACTGGTCAAATACTGTAATCAACTTTTTGGCCATGTTGATGAAAATGACCCAACTTTAGAAAGCTACTGTGGCTAAACGGCTCGGCCGATTTTGACGTATTTAACACCAATCGACGCAGAATTTAATTCACTAAAAGAAACCTTTGAACAACGTTTTCCGTAGGATTCGTTATTTAGGAGTTATAAGCGAAAAACTGAAAAAGTGCAAAATTTTCATAGTTTTTCGACTCCCAAAACTTAAGCAGACGTCAGAATCCGTCGCAAACTCACAGGACTCTTATTTGGGACCCCCAAAAGGTATTAAAACACTTTCCAGCTTTAGACGATTTTTTGGGGAGCATATGTCTAATTTTCCTGGGCTAATATTGTCTTGACAAAATACGATGATGGTATTATATAAGTTAATCTCAGGTCTATATAGGTACTGTTACCACCATACTCACATCAGGAAGAGGTCCTGGAAGTCCAGGGTTTCCTGGTATTCCTGGATTCCCTGGAGTTCCGGGAGATCCTGTTGCTCCTGGGTGACCTCTGTCCCCTGGTGGTCCAGCATCTCCCTAGTATAAGCACGTTAAATAAATAATTATATACTCGTGCAATAAGAATCCTACAATTATTTCATATCAATATATTTTGCCTCTGACAATGATATTTATTCACACTTCCAATAGTTCCAATGGCTGTGTCCAACAGAGTAGAGGGGTTTTTTTGTGAGTAGTCTGATAACTCAGGAGTCTCACACTACAGACTCGCCACCTGTGTGCGTAAAAGCATTTTTACCTCCTCTCCCTAAAAAAAATGTAAAAACATTGTACGCTATTATGGCTATGAGTTAGATATTTCATAATTCTACATTAGGGTGAGAGCTGTAGTATATGGCTGTTTATTCACTTCCACTTGTATCAGGCCTGCAGTTTGCTTGTGATGCACTATGTGCCCGAAAGATAAATGCCCCCATAAATTGGATCCAGTGAATGACCGATAACTGTTGGTTAGAATTTTGATCTTAAAATGAGTATGCCTACAGAATTTATTGAACCCTGACATATTTAATGTCAATGTGTTTTGACGAGTCCCGGACATCACAGACAAAAATATAGGTGAGTGAAGCCCACAATAATCTACGTGAATGAATTACATATAGTAAAATGCAGTTTCCAACAATAATCAAAGAACCATGAAATATAAATCAATATTTTTTGTACCAGGCACTATATAGTAAAAAGTTTAAAGATGAACTGGCTGACACACTTAATTTTGTTTGATGATGTTTGACTAAAGGATGATTGACACCTTTTTCGAATCAGTGACAGTGTAAATTCCAATCAGACTCCAAAGTTACTTTTAAAACCGTTTGTGATAGACTAGACAAAACACAAAGCTTATTATGATGTATTTCATACAAAACAGTCCTACACTGGTGCACTCACCTCACTTAGCAATTTTTTACTCAAAGTGTTTGATATCTCCCTTCTATCGTCTTTGACCCTTCGTCTTTGATATCTCTCTTCAAAGTCTTGATATATGTTTTTCTTGTTATTGTTATTGTAATTTATTCAGAATAGCCTTTATTTGTTGTTATAATTTGAGTTTGATAGCTACTACTTACTGTACCTCTTGTAAAAATGGTGTTACCGTGGAAATAAATGAATTGAATTGAATTGAATTGAATCTTGTAAGAATTATGACAGTTCAACCTATATATTATTATGTTTATGATTTTCATGTACAGTTGAATAATTAAATAGTACTTTCATTTATTTAGTTTATAATTTGTTGGGCGAGCGAGCTGGTCAACTGGTTAAAGCGCGGGAATTTAGTCTCTGGGGTCCCGGGTTCAAATCCCGCCAAATCACCAATGGATTTTATCTAAGTGATAATGCCGCAACCACTAGGTCTAGCCTGAAGTAATTATTAAAAACAATCCCGGGCTTGTGCCTAGCATAGGGGAAAAAGTTTATAATTTGTTGGTTTCACAAATATCTTACCCTTGGACCTGGTAAAGCAACTGTTTCGCCTTCACTCTCTACATATCCTGTGCCAGGTCTCATCTGAAACAGAATATTTATATTGTAGCACAGAGATGTAAAGTATAGAGAAAACATTTTACGGTATACTTGATGGTGTCTAGCACTACTCCCCTAGTCGCTGGTGTCTAAGGCAAAGTCTAACACCGCCCCCCTCCTTGGAGGAAGACCCCGTGCCCTGTGAGATATGAAATTTCTGCACAGTGCTTGCCGCTCGGGCTCTTCCTTGCTCGTCACAAGTATATTTCGGCCACAACATACTGGAGCTGAAAATGCACGGTTGTCCCATAAGCAAGTTTCTTCTGTTTTTAGGCATAAGGATGCCTCTGTGGTCATAGTAAGAATAAGATTTGTTCCAACTTAATCTTATTTTTGCAGTTAAAAGCACTTGGCTACAAATACAATAAGAAAGAAGGAATGGATTAACAACTAACACACCAAATAAAAAGTTCCATGCAGTTGATAGCAAACAAAAAGTTCATAGCACAAAAAATAAAAATTTTATCTTTCCAAGAGAATGTTTAGAAAGAAGTAAAAATTTAGATGCTGAATGATGGGAGAAGTAGCACCTTGTTGGCTCCAAATATCAAATGACAAGTAATCATTGGATATTTTCTCCTATAAAATGGCTACCGTTCCCATAATTAGAATTCTGAATTTTTACTTCTTTCTAAAAGCCCTAAATAAATTCATTCTGCTTAGTAAGCCTTCATTCTGGAAGCCCTTGAAGAGATGAAATATCAAATTAGTTGTTGTACTATGAACTTTGCTATCAACTGATTGTAACTTGTTGTTAAATGAGTTAGTTTGGTATTAATTCCTTTCTATTTCACTAAATCTGGGCATCGATCATCTGATTGGAAATGAACAGGTTAATTCTTGTGGACTATGAGCTTTACTCTCACTTAAACAACAGGTTTTCTTAGCAGCTTTTTCAGTATTCTTGGACCAAAGCTATTTAAACAATCTTCCTAACTATATTTGTGTAGGTGTCAATCCTAAATCACGGAGGAATGAATTAAATAACTATCTGTTTAATTTTTCTATTGTAAAAGTATTTTTTTTATAAAAATTATTTGTTTGGTTTTTTTCCAAACTGCATTGATAAGGGTATTATAAATAAACAAATCTTGTTTTATATGTGGTATAACTTTGAAGCTTGTGTTTAATTTTTCTCAATCAATCGTCTCATATTATTATTTCAATATTTAACTACCATTAAACCAATACTAATTTCTTTGCTCTCCAACATGTCTTATAGATTATTTCAAAATATAATAAAATGATGAGATTACAAAACAAATTAAAATGATTAACTATAAACTTATAATGACTATAAGTCATTATAAGTTATGACTAGTTAATCATTATAACTATAATGATTAACTATATTAACTTAAAATGATGGCTATTGATTTATTCATTACCTTTGTACTTAGTTATGTTTATTACATAATACTTATACATTGTTGTTTGTATAGAATATTATTATTTTGTATAGCTATAGTTAATGATTTCTGTTCTTTATTTAAACTGAACTTGATGAGTAATTTACACAAAAATTAATATTCAAGATGTAACTCACCACTGGTTCCTGTGGTTTTTCTAGATCATCTGCAAAGGAAAAAAAACATTAATTTGAAGAAAAACACCTCGCTGTATAAGCTACTGGTAACCAAACGATGAATTCATCCATATGAACAAAAAGAAATTCATTATATGTATCATTGTAGTCAACAAATGCAGAAGATGCCGTAGCGGTTATTTTGTACGAGCTTGTGACAGAACCTTAAACATATAACTTGGCACAAACTAAATCTTATTCCATGGTCTTGATTGACTAAGAAGAACCTTTTACATTACAGTAAAAATGTATAACAACAGACATTATACTTTTTGGTTAGTTTCAAAGATATAACATATATCTGTAGTGGCACATTACCCCCAGAAAAACTGTAGTGGCACATTACCCACAGATAAACTGTAGTGGCACATTACCCCCAGATAAACTGCAGTGGCAGTGGCACATTACCCCCAGATAAACTGTAGTGGCACATTACCCCCAGATAAACTGTAGTGGCACATTACCTCCAGAAAAACTGTAGTGGCACATTACCCCCAGATAAACTGTAGTGGCACATTACCCCCAGATAAACTGTAGTGGCACATTACCCCCAGATAAACTGTAGTGGCACATTACTCCCAGATAAACTGTAGTGGCACATTACCCCCAGATAAACTGTAGTGGCACATTACCCCCAGATAAACTGTAGTGGCACATTACCCCCAGATAAATTGTAGTGGCACATTACTCCCAGATAAACTGTAGTGGCACATTACCCCCAGATAAACTGTAGTGGCACATTACCCCCAGATAAACTGTAGTGGCACATTACTCCCAGATAAACTGTAGTGGCACATTACCCCCAGATAAACTGTAGTGGCACATTACCTCCAGATAAACTGTAGTGGCACATTACCCCCAGATAAACTGTAGTGGCACATTACCTCCAGATAAACTGTAGTGGCACATTACCCCCAGATAAACTGTAGTGGCACATTACCCCCAGATAAACTGTAGTGGCACATTACCCCCAGATAAACTGTAGTGGCACATTACCTCCAGATAAACTGTAGTGGCACATTACCCCCAGATAAACTGTAGTGGCACATTACCCCCAGATAAACTGTAGTGGCACATTACCCCCAGATAAACTGTTGTGGCACATTACCCCCAGATAAACTGTAGTGGCACATTACCCCCAGGTAAACTGTTGTGTCACATTACAGCTGTATAAACTGTTGTGGCACATTACAGCTGGATAAACTGTTGTGGCACATTACAGTTGTATAAACTCTAGTGGCATTACCCTAGTATAAACTGTAGTGGTTGCCCCCCTGTGTGAATCAACGACATCAATATCTCTGTCAATGCTCGACTAAGCCATCAACTCACCAAAACATTTCCATTGGTCAAAATTGTTTACTAAACTCATACCTTATACTGGTATCCTCCTGAGAAATCTAGAGTTCTAGTACAAGAGATAGATACAAGATAATTAGGATCTATTTTTACAATTACCTATTATCAAGCGAATATATCAGGACTATTCAACTATAGGTCTACCTGCACAAGCTGGACAGCATTCGCCCAATGGGATGTATTGCTGGGTCGCACACTGTTTCTCCTGACAGATCACACCAGCACACTCGTCCCCTAGAACATCTGCCTATATTAGGCTATATTACACACATAACCCTAATATCGCTAAATATTAGAGGTCAGAAATGAAGCTTGTTATCGCTATATCAAGGTCCCCCAGACATAAAGTTACACCTTGTCAAATCACTTGTCTTCCCTCACTTCACTTACTGTAACTCTGTGATCAATGACATGACATTAAACTCGCTGATGCTTTCCAACTCATTCAGAACTACTGCTTAAGATTAGTTTATGATCTGAGGCGTAATGAGCGCATCACTCCTTTTTATGTTGATTCTAAATTACTAAAGCTATATGTGACCTAAGATCAATAAAAATTCTTTTTATAACCTATTCAGTACCAAAACCAAAATTTCAAAAATAAAGGTAATGTACAGCATATGTTTAGATTTTTATCCACAGGTTAAGTGTAAGAGAGGGCCATGTGGCCCTAACTTTGTCTGTTTAAATCAATCATTTTCATTTGAATTCATTTCAAGCAAAAACGTATCTGAAACGACAATAACAATGCTCCCTAAAGTCAGACAGGGCGGTTGCCAGGGGCCTTGGTCTGGGAGACTTCACTTGGGGGGTTTTTATTCTTACCAATGTCAAAAGCGTCAACGAATATTGTGCAATCGTAAATCATGATTTCGCCGCGATTGCGGGAGACAATGATAACGTCTCCACGACCGAGCCATGATTTCTCCGCGACTACAGGAGACGTTCATGATTTCGCCGCGATCGCGGGATACGAAGATAGTGTCTCTGCAAACGCGGAAGAAGTTCGCGATTCAGCCGCGATCGTCGGAGATAATAAATATGTCCCCACGATCACAAAATATTATCTCTATTTCGCCGTGAACTTAGGATTCACGACCACAGGAGACGCTGACGATTTCGCCGAGACCAAGGATCATTTCATTCAAATTGGAAAAGGTATTTTTTTGGGCCAAAGAGTGGAAATGTCTAGGGCGAAAACACGGTTTGGATATTGATTTCGAGTCAGCAGATGTTTTTGAGGGATTAGTGAAGATAATTGAGGCGGAAAGAGATAGCAGGAGAATTTATATGGTTGGCAGAGCACGTACATTGCAATATCACCAACAACTGCTTGCCGTTGACCTTGACTAGGGCCCAGGAGTTTTCTCACTGCATAGCATCAATATAAATCTTATCTCATGGGTCATTAAGGCCCGAGCAGAGCTGGTTGATCGAATCACAAACCATGGATAACGAATAAAAATCATTTTTGTAGTTTGTGCAATTTGCGCGAATTTGTAACAGTTTTTCATTTTGTTTCTATTTGCCCAATTTTAGGTGATATCAGGGAGTATTGGTTTGGAAAACAAAGCATGCATTTGGAAGAACACATAGAATACATAAATGGTAGGGATTGGCGTAAATTAGCAAACTTTATGAGAGAGGCGAGGAGAAGGAGGTGGGAGTTAATTAGAGAATTTAATTACAAATAAATCAAGTGAATTTTTTCCCAAATTCAAAACTATTTATTCAATTTCTAAATTATAAATTATAGCAAAACAATAATTATGTCAAACAACTTGTCAGCCTGTCTTCTTGAATATTCATAGTAATTTATATAGATTTCATTATGCGTACACCTTTTAAAACCTAATAATTTTAAAAATAAAATAAAGGTTATGCAAACAATTTTATAAAAAAGTTTTTTTTTAGTTTTATATAAAATGGATGTAGTTGGGTATTTAATTTGTGTATGTTATTAAGTGTATTTAGTTTCAACTTGATTTTCATAAATGTGTTTTCCACGTGTGCCAACCAAACAGACGGTCGTAGACCATTGTTTATTAAGTGTTTGATTATGTTTATGAGAGGAATGTTTATTTTAAAATAAAACACTTTATTCATTTATTCATTCATTCATTCATTTCATCCATTTCCGATTTTGTTTCGTGTTCATGATTTTACCACAAAATTGCAAAATTCTTTTAAACTGATCATAGATTTTGAACAAATCGTTTTATTAAAAATACCATGCAAAGTAACCAAATTTTTGGTCAACCTTTTTGGCCCGGCTCGAAGTAAAAAGATCTGGTCATTTGACCCCTAATATTATAAAAATGAAATATAATTCTTTCTTAGCTAGTTTTATAGTCCATTTGCCGATCGGATCGTATGAAATTAAAAGAAAGTGTCGAGTTCATCTAGGTGAGGCAATACCAAAGAATCAGAATAGGGGGCCTCTCTGGTGTTCGGGGGGGGGGGGCTCATAGATACTAAATATAGCTATAAATATTGCATATACAAGAGATTATCCTTAACCAAGTTAGCAGAACGATCCTAACATCATGTATGTCAAGTACCTTTTATTCAGAAGAAATTTTGATGTTGTATTCACATTTTCCGGAATTTTTTCGTATTTCTTTAACTGATTGTAACATACACTAAGTCCTTACACTAGATAAGCTCTAGATTGAAACTTTTATAAAACTTAACCATTTGCATAATTTAAAATACCTTTTTGCCAATAGAATCAATTGGAACCTAAAATGGTGAATCATACTTGTTTAAATACATATTCATCGCATTCCCAACTTAGTAGAACCAAAGCTTGTTTACTAATTACTGACATTGTTTAGTTTGATCAACCTTTGAGTATTTTGAAACTTCCAACCTCACTCGTACCATTATCCTTGTGGCAGGATGGCAGTTGCTGACAGTGGACGTTCCCCCTCTGGCAGGTACAAGAAGAACAGGAGTCCGGGGCCCAAGTCTCGCCCTCTCTGTATGTCCGGCCTTCAAACTGACAGCTGTTGTCTGCAAGACAATGAATCAGAGTAAATTCTCCAACTTTTGACACGAGTCGTGGAAAAAAGGAATTACTTCTAAAAGAGTATTTAAGTTATAAATGGCAGTTCACAGCTATAAACACTGAAAACACCAGTGTGTTGTCTTACTGTTGTAAAACCGATAATGTCATTTCCCATCGTGTGACTTTATCTTGCTGTATGTCAAGACAATAAGGGCAAAGGTTTTACGTGTTGCAATAAAAATGATTGCCAAGATTGCACCCGTTTCAGTGGTGTACATGCAGATAGTAAATAATGTTTCTGTATTTCATTATTTCTCTTCGTTTTTATAAATCCGTAGATGCTACACTATTGACGCAGTTTTGGAATTTTAATGATGTAACAGCTGTTTCAAGAGGCCAAACCACTGTTGTACTATGAATCAATATATTTGAATTCGAACACGTTGTAAGACGCTTTTCACGAGAAGAGTGACGATTAATAAACTGTTCTTATCTACCCCAATATTGTATAGTTGTTGGAGAGGGTGCTTTGAAACCACAACGTTAAAATGTTATGTCAAGATCCTTGCCAATTAAACAAATAAATGGCTAAACTAGACATAGCTTATTTCAGTACTATATTTTTCTAACCTAATCCAAACTCAATCCTTTTCATAAAAATATAAAATGCTACTTACACTCTCGTTGGTAGGTTTCTGGGGCGGCAGGGGCTGATGCAGGCACCCCTGGAATATTTGTAAATTGTTTAAAAAGTACGATATTTATAAATGCTCTTCATTTTACAACAAATCATAGTTTTGTATTCCAAAATCACTTGTCTAGGCAATCAAAAAATTAAGCATACATATAAGGGTACATAATTAATATACAGACTGTCCCAAAAGTACCGGACCGGTTTTATATTTTCTAAACGACAACAGATAAATCAATAGGATTCGGTACATCAACACCACACTTAAAAATCTACTTTTTTTAGGAAATATCAATATTTTGTCATATCATGGGGACGTCCCGCAAGGATTCAGACGAAAATCTTAAATAGAAGCATAGGTTGACATGTACATCAAATTAAAGACCTTTACTAGCAGAATATAATGCCGTAAATTTGAGCTCAAACGGACAACCGAGCCAAGAATGACAGTGGTTCAAAGATTCATTTAATTTGCATTGCTATTATACGCTTACTCCTCAGGGGGCACATCCCTAGGAATCGGAAGAAAATTTTCAGCGTAAGCATAGGTCGATATGCACATCAAATTAAAGGTCTTCACTAGTAGATTACAATGCCGTAATTTCAAGCTCAAAAGAATGCCTGAGTCAGTCATTCAAAGATCCCAAATGGCAGATTTAAGAAATCTTTGAATGGCTGCAATTTTTTACTCAGTTATCCGTTTGAGTTCAAATTTGTGGCATTATATTCTGCTAGTAAAGGTCTTCAATTTGATGTACATGACAACCAATGCTTCTATTTAAGATTTCCTAATGACTCCTTGCGGGACGTCCCCATGATATGACAGAAAATTGGTGGTTCCTTAAAAAAGTAGATTTTTAGGTGTGGTGTTGATGTACCAAATCTTATTGATTTATCTTTTGTCGTTTAGAAAATATAAAACCAGTCCGGAACTTTTGGGACAGTCTGTATAATGTAACTCGCTTTGCCATCCATACGATAATTTGAGCAAGAAGTCCTAATGGTATATGAATATGGCATTAGCACAAGTTTTTCTGATTTGTTATGTTAGTGAAACAGGGGAATATAAACGTATTTTTTTCATTTATAACCTACGAATCAGTTATAATAAATAAATAAATTAGGCATACAGCAATACATAGATCACCTAATATACTTCTTTGTTGCATATTACACTGTTTCTTCCTTTGGATAGATTTATCAGATGGCTCGGAAGGGCGTTTTAACCCTTCGCAGGAAAATAAATATATCCCATAATGGCATGTATTTCATCCCCTACAAACTGTTTTTTTTGTACAGTTGTCACGACTGTTTTTTTCATTGTTTTAGTTACGGTAGAAATATCCCCGTAAGCGATGTCCGATGTCTCCCATAAGATCAATTGCCCAACTTTGATGAAGTGTGATACTAATTGGTAAACCAATATAACTTGGTATATATCACCAATATATAAGTTTTGAAGGACTGAGAAACAAAAGGGAATGAGAGATTTTCATCCAATTACATATTTTAAAAATATTTATCATCGTACTTAAAAAAAGGATTTGTTCAATTCTTTTTCTCCCTTCAGTCAAGGACGTCAGCTACATTTTGTATTGATATGATTTATCAGCTGACTATATAGAAAAAATAGTTCCGATTAACAAATATATTATTTTATCATTAAAGACATTTATTTGTTTTTATCATCCAATATTATATATTTTGCAACAAATATACCCCTTTATCGATATTTAGACGGATTGAAATGTAAAATAATTTAAGTAATATGAATTTTACCTTATGACTGTGTTGGTGGAGTAATATATTTTACAACAAAATAAGAGTAACAATTGTCCATACTGTAATAACGAAACCACTAGGAACCCATTTTTCTCATAACGTCAGTTTATAAAAGTCAGCAACTTACGAAATTTACGTTTTGTGAATAATTTGGGTAAAATAATGGTGCAGTATAACCAAACATAATATAGTTTATCCCAGGGACAAAAAGTGCATTTGCGACCCTCTCTCATCTACCTAAATTAAGTAAAAACTTGAGGCCGGAAATACGAAATATACGATTTATTCTATTTGAAAACTAATTCATCATCGGCATGGAAAGTAAATAAGTTAAATGTGTTAAAAATACTTCGGTGAAAATCTTATTAAAATATTTCATAATCTCGTCCTTAAAATTTTATTTGAATAACTACATATCTTTAACAAGAATTCAAAAAAACTTTAAAGATAAAAAATGAAAAACTAACGTCCTTCGTTTCACTAAAATCAAGTCACACCCTTCAACATGTTACCCCTGGTCAAAAATACTTATGATTTTTACTAATTACTGCTTTTTATAGCTTGTTTTGTTTCGACTACTGGTTTATACAGTTCTCTGCATATATTTTCAGTCGTGATTATTCGCATTAGTTGGTTTGTTAACTATTCTAGCAATTTCAGGCACTTCCTCACCTGAGGATCGGATTAGAACCTGAAACTTCACGAAAACATTTTTATTTTTGGTGATGGAAAAATCTACATTCCTCAAATAAAATAAACTTACCATCACCAAAAACTAGCTTCAAATAAAAGAACTTCACTTAGGAGTAAAAGTTTTAAAAGCCTAGTCTAAGATACTCCACTGACCTGACACAGTATCAGGATTGATCAACACTTGTTGGATGGGGATGTAAACCGGAGGGGAGGCTGTCGTAGTGGTTGTTGTCGTGGTTGTTCCTGCAAGCAAAAATTGTGGATATAGAATAAACTGTTGTTAATAATAACTGAGAATGGCTTAAATACCTGAATCTGGCAACCCAATTGTTGTATTCCACAACTAGTTTCGACCTGCTAGTAAATCATCATCAGGTGTACTATGAAACATATTTTGAGTACAATACGATAGTAAAATAGTTATGCCTACTTGTGAAGTTTTATCATCAAAGCACACCAGTTTATATGGAACATTTTATAAAAAATATCTTCAACTGAAATATCACGATTTTAGGAAAAATCGTATTTCAGTTTTTATTCGATCTTTTTGATCTTGGTGTCGTTTTATAGGAAATGTAAAATGCTAAATAAAAGTGTTCTAGACATTTTTTTCATAACATTAGCCATTCCTTAGTAATTTAAAATTAAAAATTTAAATGGCCACCCTTTTGAAATTTTAATTTTAATCTAAGTAACATTTTTTTCTAACATAGATCTCTTCTACCTTAACATACATACCAATTTTCGTAAAGATCAGTTGTGAAGCAAACCAAGGATGAAAGTGTTAATGTAAAAAATACAAAATGGCGGATACCTGGTTAACGAAGCGATTTTGAAAAAAAAAGTCTTGATTTTCTCTTTATTTTGATCCAAGAAATCATTACGTAAATTATGTCTTAACCTTTTTTTGAATACCATGTATTGATAGCAATTGTAGGTCCTGCAACTAAAAGTATGTGTCCTTCCTTTAATTACTTCTAAGAGTCTTTAAAAGTAAAAGTAACAAAGCACAGAAAATCCAAATGGATACAATTATTTTCTCCATAAAACTCAAGGACAGGCCTTGCTGTGCCTATTATACACTTTTCACAAGGATTATCAGGAAAGTAACAACGAACAACATTTAAATTACGATGTATTTGATACATATACATCAATATTTTATGGGTGTATATAAAGTCCCACACTTAATATTTTCTAAACGATAACAGAGAAATCAATTAGATTTTGTAAATCAAAACGGCATCTAAAAATCTACATTTTAAAGGAACTGTCAGTTTTCTGTCGTATCATGGGGACAGAAGGAGTCAGATGGAAATCTCAAATAGGAGCATTGGTTGATATGCACATCGAATTAAAGGGCTTTATTAGCAGTAAGCAGAATACAATGCTGCAAATTTGAACTCAAACGGACAACCGAGTCAAATATGGTAGCCGTTTATAAGAGACAGACAGGAATTGTGACTGCCCACTGGACAAACTTATCCTTATCTGTTGGAGGTCATTCCGATCTTTATCAGCTATACATTGGCTGATACGTGTTTGGAATTGTTTGAATCTCATATTGATTTTTCTTTCCCCTCCCTACATTTTCAGGAGGATGATGGCCACAAAAGACTGAACTAATGATGTCTAAACTTAGCTTACATTTTCATAGAATATGTTTTAGTGAAAATACAGGGTTAATAAAAAGTCAAGCCCCCCCCCCCCATCTAATATTTTTCCAAGTAGATATACAGAGATATCCTTTTGGTGGTCGTGCAATCTTAGCAGGAAGTTTCATTTTATGATTTTGAAATTTTTGAGTGTCCGGGGAAAAGGACTTGGGGGGCAACTCAAATACTTTAAAAGTAAACCCCCTTCAAGTGACACCTCATTTTTAAGGGTTTACAAAATCTTAAAGAATGGTGAAAACTAGAGCTCCGTATCTCTTTTCTATCCAAAATGGTAGCCCGTCAAATTTTGTGGAAAATCAATAGTAAAATTGGTTCGTAATGGTAATATTGGCTACCATTTTGGATAGGGAAGAGATAGCGACCTCTAGTTTTCACCATTCTTTAAGTTTTTGTAAACCCTTCAAAATGAGGTGTCACTTGCAGGGGGTTTACATTTAAAATATGTGAGTTGACCCCCAAATCCCCCCTTTTGGGTGGACACTCAAATATTTCAAAATCATAAAATGAAACTTCCTGCTAAGATTGCACGACCACCAAAAGGATATCTCTGTATATCTACTTGGAAAAATATTAGATGGGGGGGGTCTTGACTATTTATTCACCCTGTATATTGTTGTAAGTTGTGAAATACAACTTAAAGGAGTCTTTGCAACAATATTACTCACAATGTATTTTTATCAGCAGATAGTTGTTGGTAGGGAATAGAAAGTTTTTTTTTTATAGTAGTGAAACAAATAACACAATATGATGTATTCCCTAAATAATTAATATTTCTATACATTCTCACACAATACCAAAAACAATCAACCAAAGTTTTCAGTTTTTGTGTGGACAAAATTTGTAATTAATACTTACAATCCTTTATTATTTATGGATTGTTCACAATTCCAACTATACAGCAACTAAACGTTTCTTTTAAGCGGAATATTCTTTTAGATTCAATGGCAATAAATTAAAAGCTCATTTTAGCCAGTAGCAAAGGTTACTAAGCAATCGACCTGGGCTAAAACAGGGGAATAATATTTACGGCAAGTTTAACTTCTGAGTTCACACTATTTGCTACATATTGTAAAATATGTGTATAAAGGATCTCGAATTTAAGGACAGTTTTAACAAAATACAAGAATTTTATTAACTAAGAAAATTCGTGTAGTAAATTATTATTTTTTAATAAATTCTAAAAACTAACTATTTACTTCCGAAACTGGTTTTAGCATCATCATGACCACCTCCCACAATCATTGCAGCATCATTGAGATTATTTGCTTGTTAACACTGGTGTAAGCGAATTTAGTTAATAGATTACAAGATAAATTATAAAGTGTCCGGAACGTGTCGAGTGTTTGATGTGTCTTATTTATTCCTTGTTATTTCACTAACTATTAACCCCTTTTAATTAAATAATACCCCCGCCGCAGAAAACCTACAGACTAAGCGAATTTCAACTTGTCTGATAACATTTTTACTAAAATATTTCCATAAATAAGACATATTTATTCCATATTTAAATAACATTAGATTTAACGAGTGCTTAGGTTTGCTGCTACGGGGAAGGTAAAAAGTGTTTTTGACCATACGTCAATAGTATAGGATGAAATAAATAATTTAGCCAAATTTGATCAATGTATATCCATAAACAAGTAAACTACAACAATTTTAATTTTCTCCATAAGAATAACATGGGAATTTTAAATTACACTATTTTTGAATTTTCTCCGTGACCGTTAGGCATACAACAGCGCTTCAATATACTAAATTATTTCTTTTTTTTTAAGCTGTACAAAACGGTTTAGAAAGATATTGCTATTTTGTTTGTTTTTTTTTCCATAAAACCCCCCATAAACCCCCGTTCCCATTGTCCGATTATGCTGGATCGCGAACTCGTTCGAATTTGTAGGTTTGCACGTTTGTACCAAATTTCATCAAAATCGGATCATTTTTGCTCGAGTTATCGCGCTAACGGGTATATATATATGAATTTGAACGGATGGTGTTTTTGGCCTCTAGGGACCTCAAAGTGAAAAATTAAATCGGTCCCGGGTCCAGGTCTTACCATGAGTACTACGGTAATAGCTTATTCCCTATATGGGAAATTCGCTAAAAGACAAATAGGTCCAAAGGAAAATATTGTTAATACTTTATTTGTAAAAGTCGGAGTGGTAAAATTAATAACGTTTTTGCGTGTTCAAGTCTATTCTATTTTCAAGTCTGATTTCTATTTTCATCATGTTAATTGTTTATTTTTTTCAATACCTGTAAAATCATACCAAACTCAACCATACTTCAATTTTGACGATTTTTAGCTACACCTCACCCCCACTGTAAGGGCAAAACTTTCAAAATTCACCATCATTATTGTAGTCTCTCATATCTAAACAGGTTGCCGCAAACCGATTTCAAATATCTCAAATAGTTACAAAGTTAAGGGGGGTGCATGTTAATTTTCAGCCACCCTCATGGTTATTTGGATTTTAAACGTTTTAGGGCGCCATTTCGTTATTGTTGGTCCGAGTTTGGTTTTCTTTATGTCAATTGTTTAGTTTTGTCAAGATCTGTAAAATGATATCAAACTCGACTATACTTGCCATTTGAAAATTTTGAGCTAACCCCTTCCCCCGCTATAAAGGGCAAAATTTTCAAAACTAACCATAATTATTGTAGCCCCTCATATATAAACAGGTTGCTGCAAACCGATTTCAAATATCTCAAACGTTTTAAAAGTTAAGGGAGTACAAGTACAAGTTACTTTTCAGCCACCCTGTATAATAGTCATAGTGACGTCAGCTTTGCTCTGCGGTAAAAATTCCAGGGGGATAAAATTCCGGCGACCCACTATTTTAGCCCGGAAACTCATGCATTAAAGCCATTTTTGTTGCAGTATATCGAAAACAATATTATTAACTAGATGCCAATATATTAATGGACGATAACGAACGAGATCTTTATTGGCGTTGACACTCCGGCTGACCCTCCAAACAGCTGCCCGGGGTCAAAGGTCCCCCCTCGGGCCCAATTGGGCTTAATTGACTTGTTGCAGCTAAAACATAGAACCCAGTTGTTGAAATTTATCAGAGATTGATAGTTTTGTTTTTACGATTGTTTTATCGGCTATTGATTCAGATGTCTGCAACATTTTGATCAAATTTTGGCAACAGTTAAGTTCCAACCTACTTTCTTGGTTGTCGTATTTTGGAATTGAATGAATTGATGAATTCTATCCAAGGATTTCAGTTGAAATTCAATTTATCAAGCTGTAGGCAATAAGTTCTTTAATAAACGTATTGCAATGAATTCAGTCAACTTCCTTTAATGTATTGCAATGAATACAATCAACTTATTTTGTAAAATTTCACAATGTCCATTATTTGTAAATGGTCATGACCGCTGAAATAAAAAAAAAACTGAAGATACTATTGTGCAACCGACGGCAGACATCTTGCATTATTTAGACTTTTTTAACAACACTATTTCTTCAATAATTCCTTACGAGACTAAAATAGAGTTTTTACGCTGATAGTGTCTCCATAGCTAGTATAAAATAACGTAAACGTTTATAAAATACGTAGT